GCTGATAATGGATCTTGAACAGTTGGTGGTGCAATGGCTACAAATGTGGCTGCTGGCGTTCTTCTTGAAGAAGTTCTAGAAGAGGTCTTAACATTTTACCAAAAAAAAAAAAGTTCTAGAAGAGGCACCAAAATGGAAATTCTTACTTGTAAGTGACTGAGTGAGTTTCAGTTTCAGTGCCATTTCTCATTTTACAGTTATTTTGGTGATGGACATTGGTTCAGCTAGTGACCATATTTGTCCTTTGCATGACCACTTTGATTCTAGGATTGACAAACACGTCTTCACTACTTAGCCGTAGGAAATCGCTTATAACCTAATGGCGTGCCTATGATTTATACAGGAGATTTTAGAAAGAGACACAAGAAGAAAGAAAAAAGCAGACTCTTTCTGAACAATGTAATAGTTCTTATGGCTTGCAAAGATGAACGTTCCTACATGCAGCTTGAAGATTGCATCACAAGCAACCCACAGAGAAGGTATAGTCAAGATAACTGTAGTATTTTATATTTTATTACGCATTGACGACAACCGATACCAATACTATCCCTAGTTACTCAACAAAAATCTTCACAATCCGTTACATTTGTTTGGCCTACACAAACATTTCCATTTTGCGGGAAGAATGGGAAATGTACCTGCTGAGCAAAACTGAGCTCTGCAGTGTAAAGACACCGCAAAAGAAAAAACAGAAGACAGTCTTACGCCCGGTTTATAATCCCCTGCTCTTAACCACGAGACAGTCTTACCCTCGGTTCAAACACTGCCCGAAGATGTGAGGCAGTCTTACGCCGGGTTTATAATCCCTCGCTCTTCGATGTGAACTTCCATTGTAGGTGCTAATTTAAGTTTATATTTGGTAAAAAAAAAACATCTAAATTTATTATATTGAAAATTAAAAAAATTTATGAAAATTACCAAAGTAAGAACACGTTTGTATAACCAAAAAGTACACTAATTCGAGTAATCCAAAATTCATTAAAATTTTATAATGTTGAATATTTTTATGTATCAAAAATTGGTATAACATTTGTTATCGTCGATTTGGAGAATTGTGCAATCCCAACTGGTTCCCTCCCATCACACGTCTAACCACACTTGGCACAACCATTAAGAAGTTCCACCGGCGTTTGGGCATGACTGGCCCTATTTGAGTTATGGCCGTCGCTGGTGGAAGTGGCCGCCTTTCTGAACGTGTTAGGGAACTTCTCCGATTGAATAATAATATCTTGTTTATCAAGATTGATTCCACCGTCAAGCAAGTAGGTGATTTTTGTATTAATTGTTGGTATACATTATTTTTTAATCATACCAGTTTACATTTGAATTGATTGTTGGTTTAAAATGATTAATATTTTTTCTTAATTTGTGCAGGTAGCAGATAAGCAGATTATTAAGGAGATAAAATCTTGGAAACAAACCGACCCAATGCCAATATATATGTGATTTCTGGTGATGGGATTTTTGCGAAATTTCTCATGGCTTGGAAAGGTGACGTCTATCGTGTAGCTGCGAGTTTCATTTGGAATTCAGGTTCAATATTTGTGCAAGTAGCAGTTAAGCGGATTATTAAGGAGATAAAATCTTGGAAACAAACCCACCCATCGCCAGCCAATATACATGTGATTTTTGGTGATGACGGCTACCGTGTAGCTGCGAGTCTCATTTGGAACTCATGTTCAATAGATGTGAAAGTTCTTCCAATCACTAAATTTCGTTGGAGGCGGAGGGTCCTCAGAAACTAAAGAAATTGATGCTCTTTGCTTTATCTGATTATTCAAAGTTTTGTATGTTAGTCTTTCTTGTTTTTGGTAAGTATTATATTGGCACAAGTGTTGTGATTCTCAAGAAGATCAAGTATTGTCATCTTTGCATTAGTATTTATTTTGTTTTAGTTAACTAAAGAATACATTTTCCCAAAATTTCATCTTTCTCTGTTTATACATTTTTGATATACGAAAAATGGAACACATTTTCCTGCGCAAAATTCAAGTAGCAACATTCTTTATACATTATTATTACACTAAGAAGTAAGAGTTTGCTTCATCAGATTTATAGTTTGAGACAAGGTAAGGAGCAAAGCATGCGTACAAAAACTAACATAAAAAGTTGACATTATTTTGTTATTGCACCCTAAGTTGATCAACAGATCAGAATTTATCAACACCAACACCAGGCCGTATCACCTCATAAGCAGCTCTGCTCCAGCCTTTCTTCATCCCGGCCGAGATAGAGGTCACTTTCACCCAAATCATCACCTTTGTTTTTGTTGGGAATGTCCTGAAATCATTTGTACTTTACTCTAGTTAAAGTTGTAATGTCGAGATTTGATAATCGTATAATATTAGGTGGTTATAATGTTTTGCTAGAAGCCTTCCACTTCCGCTAGCTTCTAGGCGGTTTTGATTTTTGGCAGCTGTTCATTGGGATGAGAGTTGTTGCTATTGTTGTTCTGATATTGTGCAGCCATGTATCTAGGCGTTCCTCGAGAAAGATTTCTCCAGGTATCCGTTACCGTAGTTGAAAACCGTATGACCGATGAATCCCTGTAACCAACCTCGCAGGTCTCAGGGATGAAGACAATTAACTTACCTGTCTCTTCGTTGAACTCATAGTTTGTAGCATCCTGTGGAAATATCCCAACCGGTAGACCGAACTCCTTTAGTAATTCAGGCAATGGCTTTTGCATTTTTCCTATTCAGAACAAGAATGACGCTGCATTCAATTATCGATAACCCATTTATAAACCATAATAAACGAAAAACATGACTACTCAATATATACTACAAGAACTTAAGGAAATTTACAAAATCCTAAAACAAAATTGAAGAAACGCCTACTCTCCTAAGTGGGATATTTACATTCAATATCTTTCAGAAAGCAAAATATCAGACTGGACAACAGTCTCAGACTAGGCTTCACGGTTCACAACAGGTTCAAACGTCTCAGGCTCAGCCGCCAAAAGCCCCTCTTGTATTCACGAGGCCTTCTAGATCCACAGCTCCATGGGGAACTTAAGAGGCCAAGGTCAGTGGCGGAGCCACATTGTCCAAGACGGGGTCATTCGCCCCACTGATTTTTAAAAATTGGTGTAATTTATTAAAGCATAATACCAATGCCCCCACTCCTAACATCATATATACACCTATTTGCCCACAATGAAATAAATTTCTGGTTCCGCCAGGTTGGTGCTTAGGACACAACACTAACACAGTTTAGCGAATTTTTGTAACCTATCATTTTGCCCGCGGCATGAACCTGATTTAGGATTCCGGTATGCAAGGTTTTTAGTTTGGGGTTGTGACTTTTCTTTCTATTTAGTTTTCTGCAACTTGTAATGATGATCACAATAATTAAATGTTGTCATGACTGAAAACAAACTAAAGATATCCATATATTTTCAAATAATAAACTGAAGAAAAACTTTCGACCGAAAAAAAAAACTGAAAAAAACTACAAATTATAAAAAGATCATTAAAAATCACATAGGGATACTCAGCTAAAAAACTAGTTCCACGTAGGCCTAAAATTATTATCCGGTATCCGCTCCGATCCAATCCGTAATAACGAATATCTGTGTAGTTCGGATACGGATATGAATAGTGAAATTAAGTATTCAGTTATTTCAGATACGGATCGGGATAATAGAAAATTTGAAAACGGATATCCGATATCCGTTTGTTAAGTATTTATTTATTTTTAAAATAACTTTTTAAAAAATTAACTTTTTTAAAAATTAACTTTGTTATATCAAAGTTTCAAGCCCATCATCATTAATACTAATGATATTATTTTAAGATCCATATTGAATTCCAGCCATGATCATATTAAGTGTGAAGTTTAGATGAGATAAGAATCAGTTTAGAAATCTCTGGACATGTATTCATTTTTTCGTTTCAATTATGTTTGAAAATTAGTTTTGGTTTAATTTCATATTACATGATAACTTTTTTATTTTAGATTGTGAGAGAAAAATATGAAAATGAATAGCACATGAATATGAAGATAAATTAATTTCTCTATTACTATTTTTTCTTTTACTATGTAAACTTTAAAAACTTTGTGTTATTTGAATGCTACTTGAATGTTTTTAAATTTTTGCTATTTATAACTTTTGTTATGATGATACATTTTAATTATCTATGTTATACATTTTAATTATCTATGATACAATTTTTGGGATATATTACTGCTAATTCTCAAAGTCAGAAATAGTACTTGATTTACAGCTAAGAAACCGGATCAAAGTTATATACGAACACAAAATTTTGATTTTCCACCAAAAACGAAAAATCTAAGTTTCTCGCCAAAAACGCAAAATCTCGATTTCTCGCCAAAAACGAAAACTCTCGGTTTCTCACCAAAAAACGTAAAATCTCGATTTCTCGCCAAGAACAAAAAAATCTCGATTTCTCGCCGAAAACAAAAACTTTCGGTTTCTCGCCGAAAACGTAAAATCTCGATTTTACGCCAAAAACACAATATCTTGATTTTCCATCAAAAATCAAAATTTCAGTAAAAATTGTTCCCGTCAAATATACAAAATTATGTTTTCCCACAAAAAATGCAAAAAAAAAAAATTTATGTATTATCTAAAACTTAATTTGATAAATATATCATTTATTAAAAATAATATTCAAAAATATGTCTTTTTTAGTCATTTGATATATTTTGCATCCAACTATTTTTCTAAATTTAGAAACGAACAATTTAGTATCTAAAAATGCAAAACCTAGTTTTCTAAACAAACAATATCCAGATTTTGTATCTAGATGCTGATCTAAATGCAAAATCTAGATGCACCATCTAAGCGAAACAGGGCCTAAATCTTACAACTACATTCAGCCAAGCTTACTAAGAACCTAATGTCGTCTATACAATACATCCAACTCTAAATTCACACTCCAACTAATAGGCTCGCCCCTGTGTTAACAGTTAACACATTCCTAAAACTTTAGTAATTACAGAATTATAGTAATTCCGTGTTTTTCTTAAAAAATCATAACATTCATGATTATTTAAAATTAACTTTCTCCAACCTTTTCGTTATTCTTTAAAACAACAATAAAGTGTAGAAGAAAGGGAAAAAAAAAAATGTTTACAGAAAGAAAAAAATAAACATGGGAGATCGTAAAATCAATCAGACGGGTGAGATTGCCAAGCGGAAGCAGTCAAAAGAGAGAGATCCTTCCAGCCAAGACGGAGGGTTCCATTTTCTTCGACCAGCGTATACCCATTCCACGGCAACATACCCAACAACAAACCCGCTTGCGTCGCCGGGTTGCCCCGAAGCGAAACGGGTCTAAACCCGACCCGACTCAGCTCCTCTTTCCACCTCATCCTCCTCCTCCTCTTTCCTCCTCCGACTATTACGTTCCTTATCTCCGTCGCGAGCACGATCTGCTCCACCGTGAATCTCTCTCCACTCTCCTCGCCTAATCCGTCTCCAAGCGCGTCGAACAAGGCACTGTAATAATGCAACGCCTCCACGAATCTCCCTAGAAAGCAGCTTCCTCCTCCTCCATCGTCGCAGCTCAATTCCTGCTCCACCATCGTTATCAGGTTCGGCTTCAGCCTCCGTATCATCTCTAATGTATCCAGATCGCTCCCGGTGACGTCGTATAACCGGTGCTGCATCCAATGAACTACCACAGCCTCGCCGGGTCTCGTCCCGAGTTGGCTCGGATCGATTAGGTTTCCGATTTTGCCTTCGATTGGATGAAATTCGAACGGGAGGGACAAGGAGGCCGCGAAATCGGCGAGTCTCCGGCCAGTGGAGGCGAGGAGATCGGAGGAAGAGCCGAATCCGGTGATTCGGATGGATCGGAGTTTTCGAGGACGGGAAGCGAGGATGTGGAAGAGCCCAGGCCATTGAAGGCCTTGCATCACGTCGAGATCGAAGATGTGGACGGAATCCTCGCCGTCAAGCGCCTGGAAGATTGCTTGATTCGCCGTGAAATGGGAGAATTTGATCAGAGGGCTCACGGAGTTGAACGTCTGCAAGGCGGCGAAGATCTTCTGGGACTGGAAAACGGTGAGGAGGGGACTCTCCGGGAGTGGAGCACACGCTCCGGCGAGGTAGGAGCTGATCACGCGCGCTTGCAGTGCCTGGGCGAAGTAGGCGACGACTCGCTCCGGAGAGGAGCCGAACGGAGAACATATCTCGGAGATTTCGGAGAGGAGGGTCGAGGCTTCACGGAGATGATCCGTCGCGACGTATTCGGCGCATCGGAGCAGTAGGCTAAGGAGGTTGATTGCGCCGCCGTCGTCGTCTTCGAGTGTGGTATCATCTTCGGAAAAGTGGAGGTCTTTAAGGCGTTTTACGGCGGAGGGATCGCCGGAAGAGGGGAAATCTCTGTCGATGCGTTTTGCGGTCATGGGAAATGGAGGGAAATTCTGAGAGAGGAATCATTGAAGAGAGAAGAAGATGAAGAAGAAGAGAGCCAAAAAGAGCAAAAAGGGAGATTCGAAAGGCGAAAGGGTTTAAGAGAGTAATGACAGGATTTTTTGCAGAGAGAAGACAAGATAGTCTTTTGGATTGGATGAGTTTTCTGATTTCTCTAAAAGGACTTTATCTTTTTGCAACATTCACTGCTATAATCATTCAATTTGTGAACAGCTCCATTTACTACTTTTTTTTTTTTTTTCTTTTTGTCTTTTCCTAAAAACCAATTGTCATAACCGAAAATCAAACCGGACCAACCTCAAAATGTTTCAACCAAGAAAATAGTATGACCCAACTGTATGAAGGCCTATTAACTCAAATGGGCCCAATTCATAAAAATCCACCGTCGACTTACTTCTTAAAATCAAAAATCAATTTCATTTCGGTTGTGGAGGAGAAGAATCTCTTCTTGTTCAGCAAAATTGATATGATTACTCTGAGAATCACAAGAAATCTTGGAGCAAGAAAGTGAGCCAATCCCTCCCTTCGTTTTGGGGATATGATGTTCGGCCGACTACGATTGACGAAGACCGATGAACTGGCGGCTACTCGGTCCGTCGCATCGCCGGCATCTTTTCTCCTCGCCGTGATCTTCTTCTTCTCGCCGATCCTCGGCGGGAGATGGATCGTCTTTGCTGACGGTAGCAGCGGTGGCGCCTCGAGGAATGGATACTCCGGCGGATTATGGTCGTCGGCTATTGCTCCTTCCAATGTTGGTTTAGCTGTCGCGGTCACCGTCATGGCCGGTCTCGCCTTGGGTTTCACCGTCGTCTACTCCCGTAGGTATCGGAAATGAAAAACCAAATATCTGATTCTGTTCTAATTGAGAGAAGCAAAGCTTCTTCACTATTTTTTCATGCTAAGTTTAAGTAGTGGTTTGCTTACCCCATAGATTTGATAGGGAAGATAAATCGTTATTGTTACTCTCACCAGATTATTTCTACTGTTATAACACTGAGACTTATAAGTTCCACAATGCTTCTCTTTAGCCTCAGCAAAATAAATAACGTAAGCTGTTAGTTAGATTATAGTGATTGAGCTCTTGGCCCAATGTTCACTAACTCGGAATACCATCACTAATCACAGACTGTTGTAAGACTCTTAGGCTGATCATTGTCCTTGCCATAGGATCTCTGAATTCTATACTCATAGGCTCTGATACGTATAATGGTTGAGTCTCCAATCACCAAAGCCCTTTGTAATATAATCAGAGAATAATACCAATCTCTAATGTTTACTTTTAGGTTGTTTGTTGGGTTTTCTTTTGAATGGTGTGTGGGTTACTATGCTCTTTGGTCCATAGGGAACTGCCGGAGTTTTTTTCTAAGAAAGGAAGCTTGGTTTCTGTTTTCCTATGGGCAAGTCTCATGCATAAAGACCTCAGGGAACTCTCTATAGTGAACTCCCCAAGCTTTGTATATGTGTTTCTTGCTTTGCAGTATTACCACGAACAGTTGAAATCGTTTTAAGTGCAGCCTGACTTAGGCTATATGGTCTTGTGCCTTCTGGTTCTTTTAATTTTCTTCCAATTCCTGGTATCTCTTGGGCTGTTTCTGTTTAATTACTAATGAAGTGGTTTAGACTTAAGAGTCTTAGGTCTTCTCATTTGCGTCGAACTCCATTGACACTTGATTATCTTTTTTTTTTTATTTAACATATATGAACATAGGACATAACATGTACTATTTAGCCTGTCTTATTTGTTCGAAGAAAGCTTTTTATCACCAAATTTGGTTTATGTAATTTTTTCCTTTCTACATTTAAAGTGAAATTGCTCATTTCCTGCTCATCTACTTCTTCAGAGGAAGCATTGGATCACCTTGGTCACTGAGGAGAAGAAAGCATGCTCTTCAACCCAAACAGTGGAATGATTTTTTTACAGAGGAAGGGCGACTCAGTGATGGAGGTGTCAAATTTTTGAAGAAAGTTCGCAGTGCGGTATGTTTCTAAATAAGAAAATTATATGCTTCAATGAGTGTTGCTACGTTTTGATAACTTTTGACACACTGATTTTAACCAAATTTTCCCCTTATGCTGTTAAATATTAATTCCTATTTTTGTTTTTCAGGGTGTGAATCCAAGCATCAGACCAGAAGTTTGGCCGTTCCTCCTTGGAGTGTAAGAATCAGCATCTTTGTCATTGTTTTTTCTTCTACGTATCTAGTGCTGAAGTAGGATTCGACCCAATGATATAGTTCTCGACTACCATGGGAATTTTTCTGTTCGGCCCTAGGTTTGTTACTCATGCATGTTTTAAATGTTGAAGTGTAAATTTTTCTATGGGGTTGGTTATGGATGTCATATAGGTTTAAGGTAGAAGAGATTGCACAGCAGTAAACTGTTTATTAAATAGGAGTGAGGAGATTCAAATGGGAGAGTCTCAGAGTCGCCTTTATGTTTTTCTTCCCAGAGATTTATAAGACTAGCCCCTAGCTTCTCCGTACCCAAATTTCAACGGCCATCTCTATACATCCAGTGTACTTTGATTAATGACCCCTGTGTAAGGTATTTATCATCTAGCACATTGTAACCTTTTTTTTTTTAACTCTCACAGGTATGACTTAAACAGCACCAAAGAAGAAAGAGATTCTATCCGACAGCAGAAACAGTACGTTCGCTTATACTTATGGAGAGTTTCATGGGTTCTCCCTTTCTACCAGTATTTAAATTTCCCATTTTTCTCTGTTCCCGTTAGATGGCAGCTGGTTAGTGACTTGTTCAATGTGTCCACAAGACTAGGAATAAGAGTAGTAGTTTGGGAACTCCTATCACTTAGATTTTGTGTCAGTTCTTAAGTGGCTCCTTTATAAATGTATATGTAAATCCTGCAGGAAGGAATATGAAAACTTGAGGAGACAGTGTCGCGAGATTCATGATCGCAATGAAAATGGCTGTGACTCAAAGCATACAGCTCAGAGCAGCAACACCGAAGATAGTCAGGTTCTTGATTCCCATCATATTGAAGAAGTCGATAGTTCCACAAGATCCATCCCAGTAGAAGAATCAGAGAAGTTGAATCACGAATCGGTTCTGCAGGATGAGGATTGTGAAAAGAGTGATGTCACCACTGAAGATAATGCTGCTAATGACTCAGACTCAATCAACTCTGAAGAAACGGAGACTTCACCGCTTTTAGAGAAGGAAGAAGCAGAAAGCCACCACAATTCAGTTAACTCAGAAAAAGACAATCCGTCTCCATCGAAGCCAAAAACTCAGGCAGATGAGGATTTCGTCACAACATGGCAGAGAATTATCCGCCTGGATGCAGTGAGAGCAAATGACGAGTGGGTGCCCTACTCACCGTCTCAAGCTGCTGTCTCTGAGACAAAAGCCCGGGGAATAGCCACACAGGTTGGTCTCAATGACTACGACCACTTGGAGCCCTGTCGGATCTTCCACGCAGCCCGCCTGGTCGGTATCCTTGAAGCCTATGCAGTCTATGACCCAGAAACCGGCTACTGTCAAGGAATGAGCGACTTACTATCTCCGTTAATCGCAGTAATTGAAGACGACGTCTTAGCATTCTGGTGCTTTGTTGGGTTCATGAGCAAAGCACGGCATAATTTCCGGCTAGACGAGGTTGGAATCAGGCGACAGCTCTCAATGGTGTCGAAAATCATACAATTCAAGGACATTCGCTTGTACCGACACTTGGAGAACCTGGAAGCAGGAGACTGCTTCTTTGTATACCGTATGGTGGTGGTTCTGTTCAGACGAGAACTAACCTTTGAGCAGACGCTTTGTCTATGGGAGGTAATGTGGGCGGATCAAGCAGCCATACGAACCGGGATTGCAAAGGCGACTTGGGGGAGAATCCGGTTACGGGCACCGCCCACGGAAGATTTGTTGCTCTATGCGATCGCGGCAAGCGTGTTGCAGAGGAGAAAGACGATCATAGAGAAATACAGTGGGATGGATGAGATCATGAAGGAATGTAATAGCATGGCTGGTCGTCTTGATGTTTGGAAACTTCTTGACGATGCTCATGACTTGGTCGTCAATCTTCACGACAAGATCTGATCCGAGTGTGACTTTAATCTCACTCTTAAGTGCCTCTTATCACTTTACTTGTTGCACTTTTTGTTAGTGTTCAATTGTTATTGTCACTTAAAATGTGAAACAAAATGGTCCTAAAACGCTTGTAAACGTCTTCATCGATGTCGTTTGACACTTTGACTCATCTACAGTAAACCTTCTTCCGCGATTTGGATTTTGACTTGATCTTTTTTTTTTTGTTCGAACAATGATTATATAGCATTTTACTCTCGAACAAAGGAGGAATTATTTAATGTTACAAGTGCTTCCTTAGCTAAGAAGTCAGCAACAACGTTTCTCCTTCGAGAAGTTGCCGGTTCTTAGATAGTTAATTAGAACCTGAGAATCAGAGAGAGCACCACCAATGCTCGAGAATAATAACTTGCTGCATAGGAGACAGCTTTCATAACCGCTAGGGCTTCCGCCATTAACGCTGAGGAAATATGGGTCAAACCTTGGGAGATTTTTCCCAATTCTTCACTTGAGTTTCAAAAGAAGAACAACCAGGAGAGACAGGAGAAGTACATGGGTTGCGGAACACTTTTGATATTCCTAATTTGATTCCTAGGATATGACATACCTAGACAAACCAAGAGTACGTAATTGCTTGGATATTACGCACAAGTAATCGAAAATGTTCAAAAAAAACAATAGAGAATCACTCTCAAGTATTTCAATAAAAAGATGGTTGTTTATTTGGTTTATAAAGACTTTAAATGAGTTTATAAAGACTAGAAATGTTCTAAAAACAAAGCAAATGCACGAATATTAAAGGCATTAAAGAACCAAAACTAAACATAATGACTAAGGTTGAATATCACTTGAATGACTCTTGAAGTGCTTGGTCGAAATCTTCATGGGCTGGATTAATTGTGATTCAATTTGTTTTATTCAGAAACGATTTGGAAAACCTATTGGAACAAAACTAAAAATAAAGAAAAAGAGTGCAAATGGATCACAAGTCCATTTTACTTATTTTTTTAGACTTGTATCAAAATCAGAGTGGTTGTAAACACTTCTTCTCCCTTCAGGCCCAAGTAACTTGGTCAAATTAATAGGCCATACTTTGTCTCTTTGAGCTTCTTTAAGTTTCTTTGATCTAGCTCAAGCCTTCGTTCAACTAGTACAACAAGGTTCTTCTCCGCTTCTGTTTCATCTTCAACTGGTTCAAGCTCTGCTACAAGATTCATTGCCTTAGTACTGCTCAGAATTATATCAAATCTTAAAGTTATTTTGTTTAAAAATAAAAACGGTATTTAACATTTTTCAAACATATTTTTTAAACAATAAAATAAACCATCCTTTGTTAATGTTTTTAAACTTGACCCAGATCCACGTTTGGACTGGTATATCCGGTGACTCACCAAAAAATCTAGTTCATGTTTAATGTAAATATCCACCGCATAAAAACCCGGTTAATTTTTGACCTGAGTAGATGTGACCAAAGTTAAAAGTTTGGTTTTCAGAAGACCATTAAATGAAATAAAATAATTGATTGTGGTTTGTAAGATTAAAATGTAGTTTAACTTTTTATGATGAATTAGAAAAAGCTTTTGCTGAAAAATATTCCAAAGATGATGAAGAAACAAACCCACAAAAATCTGATAGTGATTTTTGACATGTTGATTAAACATTCTGGTTTTTCTTTACTGTACTTATATACTGATAGATATTTTTGATTAAACTATGTAATTTGTGATTCTTTAAATTTTGATGAAGATTTCACTGTGTTATGTGAAGAAAATAAAGAGAATGGTGATAAAAAGAACTAAGATTGATTGATTGATATGTTATTAGTTTAGTTTTGCCATTAGTGATTCATTACAATTTTAATATAATTCTTTAGTTTAAAATATTAACTTTATAATTATTGTTATTCATGTTAGACATCTATATATATATATATATATATATTAATCTTCATACTTGTTTTGATTTATTTTTTGGTGCTAATTTCTCACCAAACATTTCATTAAGTTATGCTAATAAATATTATGTTGGTCAACTGAAACCCTAGTCAAATGAAAAATTTAATGTTTGTAGGTTATTGATTAGAAAGAAAATTCAAAGAAAAAAAATGATACTGACAATACTTTAACGAGTATTATTTAATATTATTAGGTTTAAGCTATACAAATTATTAAAACTAGTTTGAGTGTTGGACTATGGTGTGTGAAATTTTTGCAAATTATGAAAATTATTACAATAGTGGTTTAAAAACACATTCATCTTTTGTATGTAGATTTCTTTCCCAAAAAAGCATACCAAAAGCAAAATCTAAAAGATTTGAGAGAACTTTATAACTGCAATTTACTACATTCAGCTCCGGCAAATGAAAAAGGCATACAATTACAGATATCTTCAAATATGAGATTTTGCAGCAATAATGGTATTCAAAATTGTAATAGGGGATACATAACATATGTGATGTTGATTTACGTAGCAGGCACATGAAAGAAGAAGTCTAGTTATTTATACCTAGCAAGGCCTCAATACCTATTTTTCAAAATTTTTCTCTATTGACATGGATATGACACCCAATTAATTGGTTCTTTTGCCTGATTCAAACAAATATAAACACTTAATATTTTCTGTTAACTTTCTTGAAGAATCATAATACATATTAGCTAATTTTGGTTTCAGGCACCTCATCCACTTTATCAGCCTAGCAACGATCTAATTCCTTGCAACGATCCACTTTGTAATGCGTTGCATTTGAATGGTAACCACAGATGTGAGACTCCAGAGCAATGTAACTATGAGGTTGAGTATGCTGATAGAGGATCTTCTCTTGGTGGTCTTGTTAGAGATTTCTTCTCTTTGAACTATACAAAAGGTCTCTGGCTCACCCCTCGTCTTGCTCTCGGGTATATATCTTTGGAATGTAAGATCTTCACTTTGGTTCAAGGAATCATTTTCCTAGCTAGTAGTCCCCATTGGAGTTAACAGATGCAGATACGATCAAATCCCAGGGGCTTCGGGTCATCATATGAATCTACAGCGATGATGATCAACAAGAGTTGGTGGTGCTTTGGACACTAATCACAACAAAATGGATCCATCAAAAATAAAGCAGCAGTTGGGCTTTGATCCAACACACAACGAAACTTAGATAAAAAAAAGCACAATACAATGAATAATAAAATAGCTTTTGAATTCTTTTAAGTTTTTTTTTTTTGTTATGTATATAAGAAAACGATAAGTTTTCTTGACACTTTCTATTTATACACAATGAATAGTATACCAAATCGTAAGCCCTAGAAGTTCACTTTGGAAAAAATCACCAATTGTGTAGAAACATCGAGTCTAGGCCAATTGAATGTTGAGATCGAATTCGAAGTTCTTCAGCATCTCATCTTTCGCCTTCTGCTCTGAAAGAACAAGCAAATCATAATATAAAAATACATTAATACAATCCAGAGTATAGACGCTCACAAAGTTGATAAGTACAAATACAAAGAAACCATAAGAGACAAAATTTAAACCCTCAAGGCATAATTATTATCTACCAACAATGACACTGACAATGCTTTAACGAGTATTATTTAATGTTATTAGGTTAAAGCCATACAAATTGCTAAAACTAGTTTGAGTGTTGGACCATGGTGTGTGAAATTTGTGCAAATTATAAATATTATTACAATAGTGGTTTAAAAACACATTCATCTTTTGTATGTGGATTTATTTCCCAAAAAGGCATATCAGAAGCTACATCCAAAAGATTTGAGAGAAATTTATAATTGCAATATACTACATTCAGCTCCAACAAATAAGAAAAGACATACAATTACAGATGTCTTCAAATATGCTACTTTGCAGCAATAATGATATTCAAAGTTGCAATAGTGGATATATAACAGATGTGATTTTGATAGACATAGCATGCACATGAAAGAAGGAGTTTAGTTATTCATATCTAGCAAGGCCTCAATACCTATTTTCAGAATTTTTCTCCATTGACATGGATATATGACACCCAATGCACAATTTCAAGAGAAACCCCAACTAAGAAAGAAGAACATCGAGTTTAAGGTTAGTGGTTTCTCAATTTTATTTGTTTTTTTTTAAAATGGTTTTTTGTATGTATATAACTAGATGGTTTATGAAGATAAGTAGTCTCATATATCGTGAAGTGTGGGATGGCGACGCAAGCTAAAGCTTAATGTAGAAAGAGAGCCTAGATTTTCTATGCTACAAGATTAATTAATTTATGACCTAAGTAGCGGTTTAACCGGTGAGTTGCAATTTAGAATAATTTTGAACAAATTCAAAAAGTTATATCTTCAAAAGATTAATAAATGAAATATAAGATTTGTTTGTAGTTTTGTAAGATTAAAATGTAGGGTTTTTGTTTTAACTTTTTATGATGAATTAGAAAAGGCTTTTGCTGAAAAATATTCCAAAGATGATGAAGAAACAAACCCACAAAAATCTGATAGTAATTTTTAGTAGATTAAATATTTTGGTTTTTGTTTTAGTTACTGATATATATTTTTGATTAAACTATATAATTTGGGATTCTTTAAAATTTGATGAAGATTTACTGTATTATGTGAAAAAAATAAAGAGAATAGTGATAAAAATAACTAAGATTAATTGATATGATATGTTATTAATTTATTTTGTCATTAGAGATTTATAACCATTTTAATATATAAAATATTAATTTTATAATTATAATTATTCATGTTATACATATACATATATATATATATTAATCTATACATTTGGCTTACTTTTTGGTGCTAATTTCTGACCAAACATTTCATTAAGTTATGCTAATAAATATTATGTTGGTTAAATGGAAACCTCAGTCCAATGCAAAATTTAATGTTTTTGACCTATATTCTCAAATATATAAAAATGTTTTAGTTTATTCATCTCCGGTCGAACCGCGGTCGACTCGATGGTGTTTCGGTTCATTGTCCGGGTCCGGTTTAAAACATTTCGGTTCCCATTACAACAAGAACAGATCTCTTCTTCCTTGGATTTGGATTTCTTATTTTGATCAGTCTGTAAGATATTGCAACCATGGCGGATACCGTTGAAGATCCTCAATTGCATAATGGAGAGGCACCAGTTGAACCCGAAACCGAGCAGCATCCGATTGCGGAACCACAATCCGACCACCATCACCAACTCCAAACTGAGGCCAAACTTACCGACGAGACTCCGGAATTAGAAACTGATGCGAAGCCGGAGGAAGTACAATCCGATGCGAAGCCGGAGGAAGTACAATCCGATGCGAAGCCGGAGGAAGTACAATCCGATGCGAAGCCGGAGGAAGTACAATCCGATGCGAAGCCGGAGATAAACGATGTGGATCTGTCGCCGGGAGGATCGGAGGAGATCCCGATCCGGTCGACGGAGGTCGATCAGGAATCTTCTACAACCCACTCCTCTGTTATCAAGAAAGAAGATGAAGGCAACAAGACATTTACCATGAGAGAGCTTCTCAGCGAATTGAAAAGCGAGGAAGGAGACGGGACTCCTCATAGTTCTGTTTCTCCCTTTAGGTTTTCTCTCTTTCTCTTCCATTTCAGCTAAATTGAGCTCAAAAATGCGTATTGTTACTACTTTTCGGAAATTTGGTCAATTTTTGTTTGTCCTTTGTGTTATGATGAGTTTTTTTCATTTATTAACTCTATTTTTCCTCTTTGAAAACAAAAATTATGCTCAGTCGAGAGAGTGCTTCTCAACCAGCGGAGAACAATCCTGCAATGGATCTGATTAATAGGATACAAGTTAACGACGAAGAGGGCCGATCTCGCCAGCGTGTTCTTGCATTCGCTGCCCGCAAGTACGTAACACTTATTATTATCACGTGATTAATCTTCTAGACTAGCTATGGAATCATGCTTTAGTGGTTCATGGAAAGTTTTTACTTTCTTTCAAAGTTAGATGATTGACCAATGAATTAGATTGTGATATGTTTGGAACTTGACACATACAGAGATTTAGTGAAAATAGGTTCATTGAGCTTATTGCTTATTCAAGGCTTTATCTTTTTATGTCCTGCTATTTGGGCGCTGATTTTATAAGTCATTCTGCAACATTGTAGGTATGCTAGTGCGATAGAGAGAAATCCAGAAGATCATGATGCATTATACAACTGGGCACTTATTCTCCAGGTCTGTTTTCTTTACTTTCTAGTGTTTAGAAGTTCTCTCTCTTTCTCTCCCTCTCTCTCATTTGTGATTGGCTTTGGTTGACATATTCATATGGAAGTGATTAAGGAGGTGAATTGATCCAGCCTAGAACTTTCTTGCAAGTGTCGAAAGCTGAAACATACATTCATAAACACTAGGCATTAGATTATAAGTATTTCTGTAAGAACTCAGACCTGTCTGTCTTTGGGGCCTATCAGAACTCTTTTTGTGCATATCCTTTGGAAATATTTTTAAAATTCATCACTGCCATATTTTCACCACAGGAAAGTGCTGACAATGTCAGCCCAGATTCTGTTTCACCTTCTAAAGATGATTTGCTCGAGGAAGCTTGTAAGAAGTATGATGAGGCAACCCGTCTCTGCCCGACGCTTTATGATGTATGTATAAATAGGATTATAGATCTGTTAGTTTTGTTTCTGATTTATGCAAAATGCAAATTGCAAGATAATTGTTACTTTCAATTCATAAATGGCTTTCAACTTTTATGTATGACTTGTGTGATTCTTTGATAGGCTTACTACAACTGGGCTATCGCAATCTCTGATAGGGCAAAGATGCGGGGCCGTACAAAGGAAGCTGAAGAACTATGGGAACAAGTAAGTAATATTGCATACTATCAGGACCTTATCCTACTAATTGTGAAAAACTGAAATTATTGTGGTTTGATCTCAACTTCTAATTCTAAAGAAGAGTGTGTTCGGCATTTTCATTTCAGGCGACTAATAACTATGAAAAAGCTGTCCAGCTCAACTGGAACAGTTCCCAGGTATGGTCTTTCATATGATGTACAAACTTCACAATATCGTTTGTTTGAACCCAAACCTTTGTCAACTATATGATGTCTTTTTTAAAAGCGTGTCGTTTATCGGTTAGCTCTATATTGTAGTCTTTTGATTAACTGACTTATGATTTAAGCTATCAATTATCTGCAGGCCTTAAACAACTGGGGACTGGCGTTGCAGGTAACTGAGTTACATGTGTTTATCTCTATGATATGTTCTGACATAGGATGTACCTATCTAGAAAAATTACAATGCAAAGAGCTTAGAATATTCTCTGGGTTTTTCATTAGGAACTCAGTCAAATTGTTCCTGCTAGAGAGAAGGAAAAAGTTGTCAGAACTGCCATTAGCAAGGTGCTTACTCGTCTCTTTGACTAATGTAAAAATTGCATTGATATGCATGATTGTTTTCTTATTATTCCTTTGTACATGTTTTTCCATACAGTTTCGGGCCGCAATCAGGTTGCAATTTGATTTCCATCGAGCCATATACAACCTTGGAACTGTTCTGGTCAGTTATGTTTGACAGTTCTTTTACATGCAGGATTATAGTTTCAATCCAGTTAATTGACCTCTGTGGATTCTTCTCTCTATTACAGTATGGATTAGCAGAAGACACGCTTAGAACTGGGGGTTCAGGCAACGGCAAAGACATGCCTCCCGGTGAGTTATACAGCCAATCTGCCATCTACATTGCTGCGGCTCATTCGTTGAAGCCAAGTTATTCAGTAAGCTTATTGTCCCCAACTTTGTGCTGGAATCAGAGATGTTTGAGTCATATTGCTATTAAATAAGAATTAGTGGTAGAATTACATTCATTGCTTCAAGGCTGACCTTTTCCCTGGTCCAGGTTTACAGCAGCGCTTTGAGGCTCGTTCGTTCCATGGTACCTTTTGATGACCCATCACTTCACACAATCAAGTTGATATATATTTGTGGAAATGACCAGCAAAAGTAAAATTTTAATAAATATTGGCAGCTACCTCTACCGCATCTTAAAGTTGGATATCTAACGGCACCACCCGTGGGAAACTCACTCGCTCCGCACAGTGATTGGAAACGCTCGGAGTTTGAACTCAATCACGAGAGGCTTTTACAGGTACTCTCTCTCAATTTGAGTTTCCTCCATCATTCGAAAGAGTTTTACTTTTTAACCGCTTGTGGTTGATTAATCATGAGAGATTACGCAAAAAGATGGATATTGTTTTCTAGAGAGATTCTAAAACCAAAGTAGTAATATCCGCATGGGGTCGGTGTAGGTACTGAAACCTGAAGCAAGAGAAATGGGGAGAAACCTGTCAGGAAAATCAGAGGCAATGAACACAAACGTGGAGAAGAAGACGGTAAAAGTGAACATTACAGAGATTGTGTCAGTGACGCCTTGTGCTGATCTCACTCTACCTCCTGGTGCTGGTCTTTGCATTGATACCATTCATGGCCCAGTTTTCTTGGTAAGCCTCCTAAACCAACATACATATTACCATTTATTACAATAAGCTTAAAGAGTCGTATCCTTTGAATTGGAAACTTGAATTTGCATAAACAGGTTGCGGATTCATGGGAGTCTTTAGATGGATGGCTCGATGCGATACGTTTGGTTTACACAATTTATGCAAGAGGGAAGAGTGATGTTTTAGCCGGTATTATCACCGGTTAACCATCTTTACACTTTCTATTATTTTGCCATAGTGTTCTGTCTTTGTATTACCATAGCTAGATGTTTTACTGAAGCATCTCTATGATTTTCTCTGGAAATTACAATTTTTCTTCTTCTATTTTGTCTCCCAAATGTAATCTGAATTATGCTTTCCTTTGACAACAAAAATTGGCAACTATTGGACCAACAAATAAATTGGCAACATCCGCTTTAAGATGTTGGGCTAATGGGCCAACAAGTATATAGGGTTTAACGGCCCATGATGATGTATCTGGGCCGGATCACTCACTCACTGGTAATCAATCATCTGCTGTCACTTTCCCCAATACTAGGAGGGAAGGATCGTGTAATCCACCGAACCGAGCTCGAGCCAAAAATCCATGGCGTCTCCGTCGATCTGCTGGCTTTCAATCCCCGGTTCTTTCTATACCAAGCCCCGCCTTGTTTCTTCGTCTTCTTCTTTTTCGTCGCTTCCCCTACAGAACCGTGATAAGGTAAGGTGAGATCGATCAAAGGCAGCAATCTCGTTGACTTGAATGTATGTTTTTCTCTTCGATATATGTGCCAACATTTTGTCTCTTCTTCTTCGTCTTAGCTGTGTAAAAAGGGGAAAGTCGAGCGAGTGATTTGCAGAGCGGAGTTTTCACAGGACGCGCCTCTCGCGTCGGCCATTGGCGCGTGCATCCTGAGCTCGTTTGTGTTCCCGGTGGCGAAGCGAGTCGACGAAGATGAAGAAGAGAACTCTGCGATTGTTTCAACAGATATGAGATTAGCCGCCATGGGAATCATCAGCTTCATCCCTTACTTCAATTGGCTGGTTCGTTACATTTCAATGATCCTCCTCTAATTTTTCTTTTTTTTTTTTTGGGAAAAAGAATCCTAAACCCTAAAACAAATTCATCTCCTTCTTCTCGATCAGAGTTGGGTCTTCGCTTGGCTTGACACCGGAAAAACACGTTACGCTGTGTATGCTCTCGTTTATATTCTCCCCTATTTGAGGTATATTATATCATTCATTCAGCTCATTTTTTATTTGGATCTTCTTAATTTTGCCTTATGATGAACTTGAGAAAAGGTCTTGTTACATTGGTATTATCTCTGATGATTCAAATCTGCAACAAGATGTTTGTTTAAGGAATTTTGTCAATTTGGGTGGTGTTCACAGTTCGTATTCACAAAATTTTGCAGCTCAAATCTATCCATTTCCCCGGAAGATAGCTGGTTGCCTATTACAAGCATCGTTTTGGGCATCATTCATGTTCAGGTCCCTGATTCTGATTCTTTCTTTCTTCAACGACTTAAACACTCTGTGTAACATCATCTTTCCTCCTTTTTTTTTTGTAGCTCGAAGCAAGCATTGCAAATGGTGATGTTCAGACGCTTCGATTCTTTAGAGACACATCTGAAGACTTTTCATCAAAGAAACGTAAACATTTTGACAAACGTTCCAAGGTATAAAATATAAATTGCTTCTTTATAATATTATACTCTTCAACCTTCCAGTCCAATATTATAATTGGATTTTTTTTTACCGCAGCCCTTTTTTCGATCTGAAATTTACAAGGACGTTATTTTTTAATTTATTTTTGCATTGAAGGAGAAAGACAGTGACAATTAAAATCTAAAAAGAAAGCCCCAAAGACACGAAGAGAGAAACGAGGATAGATGATGATGATGATGATGGTGGTTAGTTTTGTAAGAGACCCCAAATACTTGAATAAAAAGAAATCTTTGAAACTGAAATGCAATATAGCTAAGACAATTTCACTATTCCGAGTCATATAGTGCAATGCTTCAGTTTCAAGTCTTTGAATTGTTCTTGTCTTCTTAATACTTCAAATTTGATAACCTTTACTTACTACCACCTACTGGCTACTACTATTGTTCAACGACTCGGTGAGTTAACAAGTAATCAAGTTGAAATCAAGTAAGTAATCTACAAGGAGTTAAAGTTCAGGCCCATGGGCCCAGACTTTTTATGTCTTATAAAAGGTAGTAGACGGCCCATTTGACATCTATCAATTCTCGTCATGTTTCCGGTAACGAAAGGTTTAATCAGAAGCTTGTCGTTCCATCTTCGTCTTCCTCTCCCTCTCGTAGCATCAATGGCTCCTCCTGCCGTCGTTAGGGTTTACTCTACTACTCCTTCGCCTTCTGAGGTTTCCGTCAAGAGAGTTGGTACTCATAATGGAAGCTTTCACTGCGACGAGGCTCTCGGTTGCTTCATGATCCGCCTCGCCGATAAGTTCTCCGGCGCCGATATCGTCCGTACTCGTGACCCTAAGGTAACACCTTCAAATCTGAGCTGCTATTTTTGGAGCTCACATATATTGCTAAAGTGGAAATGGGTAATGAGAAGATTGTTTAGTTGCTAGAAATCGACTGCTTGTTTTTCTTTTGTTTGTTGAAAATTAAGGGTTTCAAATAATTGTAAACTTGGCTCTTTCCATCATTCTAAAGGCGAATATCGATTCCCTCTGCAATCTGTATTATACATGTAGAGATTGTTGATGGAGTTTATATGCAGATATTGGCAGAACTTGATGCAGTGCTTGATGTTGGAGGTGTTTATGATGCGGAACATGACCGTTATGATCATCACCAGAAAGGGTTTGAAGAGGTCTTTGGACATGGCTTTAACACCAAGCTCAGTAGTGCTGGTCTCGTTTACAAGGTAAACAAACAAACCTATAACACGCTAGTGTTTGCTCTAATTCTCACTGAGATTTCTCGGAAAGATGTCAATATTAAATACTGAATGTTTTATTTTTTTAGCATTTTGGAAAGGAGATCATAGCTAAGGAACTAAATGTTGATCAAGATCACCCTGATGTTCTTCGGTTGTTTTTAGCTGTCTACAAGAGCTTCATGGAGGTATATTGCACCTTGTTCCTTTTCCAACTCAAATTTTGGTTTCTTTCTATCATTGTTGGCTTGCAGTCTAGGCATTTTCTGCATACTGATTACTCGTCATCTCTCTTTTCATTATTGTTTGTTTCGCTGACTTTATGTTTCTTAACTTTGACAGGCAATTGATGCGGTGGACAATGGAATAAATCGATATGATACTGATAAGCCTCCACGATACGTGAACAACACACATCTGTCTTCAAGGATTGGAAGATTAAATCTGGATTGGATCGACCCTGACCAGTCGCAGGAGAAGGAGAATGAGGCTTTCCAACGTGCAATGGCTCTGGCTGGGAAAGAGTTCCTCGAAGTAAGATTTCTAGCTGTTTGATGTCTACCGTATATATATATATGTTCCAAGAGACACAAAAGGTTTCTCAAACGAGCATAAGCTTATGGTGAGCTTGTTTTTATATTGCGTTGTAGAGTGTAAGGTTTCATGCAAGATCGTGGTTACCTGCTAGATCAATTGTGATGCAATGTCTTGAAGAAAGATTCAAGACAGACCCTAGTGGTGAGATCATGGAGTTGAAGAAATTTTGCCCTGTAAGTACATGGAAGCTCCATTCCTCTTAATAGATACTAGTATGTAGTACTAGTCTGAGTCTTAAGATTATGACCAACTCTGGTTGTCTGGTGAGCAGTGGAAGCTTCACTTGTTCGAGCTTGAGCAAGAGATGAAGATCGAACCCCTCATCAAATACGTCATCTACCAGGTTACCCTTTATGTACCATATTAAGATATGCTTGTAGGATGTCAATGCAGTTGCTACATTTGGGATTAAATAGGCACTTGTTCAAACCAATGGTTTTCAGGAAGAAATGTGAATGTAAACTAGGATTAGTGGAGTGTAAAAGATCATTTGTGTTGGTTTGTTGATGCATGTCTAAATATAATGTGTATGAAATGTAAAAACAGGACGAGCGAGGAAACCAGTGGAGAGTTCAAGCAGTGGCGGTTGCACCGGACAGGTTTGAGAACCGAAAGGCTCTTCCTGAACAATGGAGAGGCCTTAGAGATGAGGAACTCTCTAAAACTGCTGAGATCCCTGGTTGCGTCTTTGTACACATGAGCGGGTTCATCGGAGGAAACCAATCCTATGAGGGAGCATTATCAATGGCCCGAACCGCCCTCACTCTCTGACTTAGCATTGGCCCGGTACCAAAAGAATCATTTTCCCATTACCAATAGAGACTAGAGAGAGAGAGAGAGAGAATTTAACATTGCTTATTTATGTTGTACAATTTCTTGTTTTCAAGTGAGTGAGCATTTCGTCATTGTCTTTTCTTTTGATGGAATCATATCGTTACTATCTTCAAGAATTCTTATTCTTAGTTCATAATATTTGTAGAAACATGAGTTCTCTTGATATGCAACACACAAATATCTTTTCCTTTCTTTATGAAAGAATACGTACTTCTATAAAATACATATAACTCTGTCAAAAATAGATAAAATACAGTTTTAGTTATAAGGAAATTGAAAGCATTTTTTAAATATTCAGTATGATATATGTAATTGTTTTGCCCTAAACAGACATTCCGTCGAACACATGGAGGGCAAAACACACGATGTATATAATCATTACCTCCAGTTTTCCTTTGATTTCGAAATTATCTTTCATTGTTGATTTGCAGATCGAGATTGTGTAAACTGCGTCGAAACCCAATTGTCTCTTCATCTCTCTCTCTCTTCTTTTTCTCTGCGGTTTAGTCGTCGTCTCCTCTATTATGCAGATCTCCGGCGAAGAGGACAAAGAAGAAGAAGAAGCTGCTCTTACGAGCTGTATGCCCAAAGAAGTAAGCAACGTCCCAATTTCAGATTCCGAGAAGTTCGTATACCGAATTCTCAACGGTCCAAACGAACAATGTCTGGAGAATTTCCGAATGGATAAGCCTGTCTTCTACAAGCTATGCGACATCCTTCAAACCAGAGGCCTATTACGCCACACGAACCGAATCAAGGTCGAGGAGCAACTAGCCATCTTCCTGTTCATCATCGGTCACAACCTTCGAACTCGAGCTGTTCAAGAACTGTTCAGATACTCTGGGGAGACGATCAGCCGCCATTTCAACAACGTGTTGAACGCGGTCATGGCGATCTCCATGGATTTCTTCCAGTCAGCTCCGATTTCTCCTCTAGAGGACGATCCTTGCTTCAAAGACTGTGTTGGAGTCGTTGATTGCATACACATACCTGTCATGGTTGGAGTCGACGAGCAAGGTCCATTCCGCAACAACAGCAATGGGTTCCTTACGCAGAACGTTCTCGTGGCTTCTTCCTTTGATCTCAGGTTCCACTACGTGTTAGCTGGTTGGGAAGGCTCAGCTTCTGATCAACAAGTTCTCATTGCAGCTTTGACTCGCCGTCACAAGTTACATGTCCCTCAAGGTATCTATGTATATCCTCCTCTTGCTTATATGCTTGTCTTTGAGAAGAAGAAGAAGAAGAAGAAGAAGATGATGTGATTGATCGATTGCAGGAAAGTACTACATTGTGGACAGCAAGTACCAGAGTCTTCCAGGCTTCATGGCGCCGTATCATGGTGTTTCAAGAGAAGAAGAATCAAAGGAGACTATGTTCAACGAGCGGCACAAGCTGTTGCATCGAGCGATTGACAGAAGTTTTGGAGCCTTGAAAGAAAGATTCCCGATCTTACTATCAGCTCCTCCGTATCCTCTACAGACGCAAGTGAAGCTGGTGATTGCGGCGTGTGCGTTGCACAACTACGTGCGCTTGGAGAAACCAGATGATTTCGTGTTTAGGATGTTCCAAGAAGAAGAAGAAGATACAATGGCGGAAGAGGCATCAGAGGAAGAGGAGGTTCAAGGAGAGATGGAGGGACATGATGGACATGGCTCGTTTACAGCTCCAGAACAAGTGGCAGATTGTTTAAGGTTAAGAGATGAGATCGCATCTCATCTCTGGAACCATCATCATGTCCAAAATCTACCTTGACAGTTTCTTCATTTTTGTTGTTGTTTTGCTACTAATAAATTCTTCAACCCAAAATGCAAACCAAAAGTCAAATACTATTAAAAGGGATCAGGATTAGTAATCCCAAAGGTGGGATTAGAATCAGAATTCAAGGTGTCTCTCTCTGTGACTAATACTTGGTCAAATTTGAACATTCGGTTGCTTTGGTTCAAATCTGATGAATTTTTGGTTTGATTCGGTTCTTTGCCTATCGTCTAAATATATTGTTTTTTTTAAATTATAACATTTTTTTTTTTGAAAAGGACCTAAATTCAGCCAATCGAACATGATTCATCTGCTTAAAAATAAAAATTAAAACCAATTAAAAAAAAAAATAGTAAATTAGGTTTGAAGAGGAGGATTAGATTCTCAGTTACTGTGTATATATATTTTATTTTGGTAAAAAGAGTTGTATATGAATCGGATGATGATGATGATGATGTCGTTTGTTGTTTGATAAAGACAGATCATTTGACTTTCCGATTTGGCCGCGAACCCATTTTATTCCCCCAAATCCCCTCTCCTTCTTCATTGATCAAATTCTCTCTCAATCATCCGATTTCTCTCTCTCTCATATTTTTCTGGGTTTCTTCAAAAAAATCATGGTGGATCAATGGAAGGTGTTGGCATAAAAGAGACGGGACGGAATCACGGGGGAGATCGGGAAATCGGATCATCGGAGATGGGGATTCCCTTCGCCGCCAAACTCCGTTTCCGATCTCGGTTTCGATCGTCTATCGACTCTTACTGCTTCGCTCGTGAAGCCTTCTCCGATCCTCGTCTTTTCAAATCTCCCGTCGATTTCTTCTCCTTATAACAGCCCTCCTCCTCCTCCTTTTTTTTTTATATAATCATCTCGCCTTTCTTTTAATTTTCTCCCTCGATTAATTTCAGTATAAAAAAACTCTTGTTTCCGTTTCCTGCGTTTTCTTCTTCTCGTTTCTCTCTTTGGTTTGTTGTGCATATGGCTTCTGGTTCTGCGTATTTAGGTCAGATTTCGGGGATGGAAGAAGCTGACTTCGCCGAGAAAGATCCTACTGGCCGGTACATCAGGGTACGCCACCGTGTTTTTCCTTTTTCTGATTCTCCATCTCCAAATTATGCATGCAAATCCACTTCCTTCGGATATATGATTTTACTCATGTGTAAATTGGTGGGTATAGACATTAGATTCTCGTTTGGTTTAGGGTTTATATCGTTGATTTGTGAAGCAAATGATTATAATTTTTTTAGCATTTTGATTGAATTAGCTCTTGTTCCACCAAGCGAGCTGTTATTTTGATCCTATGATACAAGACATTAGAGTCTCGTTTGGTTTAGGTTTTCTATCGTTGAATTGTGAAGCAAATGGTTAGAACTTTTGAGCATTTTGATCTTGGTTTGAATTAGCTCTGGCTATCTGGCTTATGTTTCTCAATTTTCTGGAACAATCCAGCTTAAGATCACAATCTGCATTGCCAGTTTTACTAGTATAGTGTGTTTTCATTATAATGGTGGGAAACAACATAGTGACCGATCTGTTTGTTTTCATCCTTCAGTATGATGATGTCCTGGGGAGAGGAGCTTTCAAGACTGTGTATGGTTTCTACACACCCTTATGCTTTTCCTGCTTTTGTTGTTTCAAAAGGCAAATTGTTCCTGATTGTTTTCCTATTAAATCAGATATAAGGCGTTTGACGAAGTAGATGGGATTGAAGTTGCTTGGAACCTAGTCTGCATTGAAGATGTAATGCAGATGCCTGGTCAGCTCGAAAGGCTGTATTCTGAAGTTCATCTCCTCAAAGCGCTTAAACATGAAAACATCATCAAACTCTTTAACTCTTGGGTCGACGAAAAGAACAAGACTATCAACATGATCACCGAGCTTTTCACCTCTGGTAGTCTGAGGCTGTAAGTATCAATTCTCCTCCGGGTTTTTCTTCTGTTTCGTTATATTTCTGTTTTTCATCTCACTGGCTGACTCTTTTTCTTTGGATGCCAAGGTATCGTAAGAAGCATAGGAAGGTTGATCCCAAGGCCATCAAGAACTGGGCAAGGCAGATTCTTAAAGGCTTGAACTATTTGCATTCTCATAACCCTCCTGTAATTCACCGGGATCTTAAGTGTGACAATATATTTGTCAATGGAAATACTGGGGAGGTCAAAATCGGAGATCTCGGGCTCGCAACTGTACTGCAACAACCCACTGCTCGAAGTGTGATAGGTAACACCTTCACTCCTGGGCCATGGCATATCTACTGTAAACTGAACATAATATGTGTATTCGCTATTCAGGTACTCCTGAATTCATGGCCCCTGAGCTGTATGAAGAGGAATACAACGAGCTTGTGGACATTTATTCTTTTGGCATGTGTATGTTGGAGATGGTAACCTGTGAATATCCATACAACGAGTGCAGAAACCAGGCTCAAATTTATAAGAAGGTCACCTCGGTAAGTCTTCCACCATCTTGATTTGCAACGAAATTGTTTTTGAAGCACTGGGCTCCTCTTTGAAACTATTGCGTTTGCAGGGTATAAGGCCCCAATCTCTCAGCAGAGTTGATGATCCTCAAGTTAGGCAGTTCATAGAGAAATGTCTTCTTCCTGCCTCTTCGAGACCAAATGCTCTCGAGCTCTCGATGGACCCGTTCCTTGCAAGAGATGGAAACAAGGACTCTGCTCTTCTTGCTTCATCAAGCACCACATCTAAGCCTCCACAGCTTGAACATCTTCCCATGGATGTGGATCATCATAACGAGATTAAAAGTGTCTCCATCTGCTCCTCCCGGAAAAGCAACGAAGAATACCCGTGGTCCCAAGCCATAGAACTTCAGCGGTTTGCAGAGGATAAAGAGTTCAGGCTGAGAGGAGAGAGGAACGATGACATCACAGCGTCAATGCTTCTGCGCATCGCTGATTCATCTGGTTCGTTTTTTTTCAAGAACAAATTTATTTCAATCCAATTCATTCCTCTCACTGTCTGAGTCGATTAAAATGTCCTAAGTACAGGTAGAGGAAGAATCGTACACTTTGCATTCTACCTGAGTTCAGACACAGCGACAGCAATCGCTGAGGAAATGGTTGAAGAACTGCATCTAACAAGCCAAGAGGTTATTGTGATAGCTGATATGATCGATGACTTGATAATGCAGCTTAACACTGACCGCAACTCATCGCATCCAAATCAAAACTCTCCACGTCTAGCCTCCCAAGAGGATGATGAAGCAGCAAATCAGGAAACGGTGAACTCGAAAGATGAGGAAGCTGCAGGAGAATCAATGAAGTCAGGCATATCAGCAGACTATTACTTACCTTTCTCCTCAAACGGAAGTGCTGCCATAGAAGCTGGTCAGGAGGCAGATTCAATGAGCTCGTTTCTGGATTCTTGCTCAATGATGACAACCCTTTACTCTCTTTCCATTTCAGACAACGATTATCCAGAAGATCTCAAGACAGAGCTGAACCTGATCGAGTCACAGTTTAACCAGTCCTTCCAAGATCTTCTGAAACTGAAAGAAGATGCTGTAGAGAACGCAAAGAGAAAATGGGTTTTGAAAAAGCAAAAAGGTATAATCACCTCCTGATTCAAAGACGCCCTGCTTTTGGTTCTTAATTTCTTTGATTGGTGTGATGATGATGAAACTTTTTTTGTTTGGATATTACATTTGATGATGTAAAAGCTTTGTTTTTTTTTTTTTTTGGTTGGTTGGTATTTGACAAACATAAAAGTAGTGTCATTCGACTTATATTATTGGAATCTAACAAATAAATCACAAAACTGTTGAAAAGAAGCTACTAAGTATAGAAGGTAGACAGAAGATGGATATTATGGACTTATGGATTGTTGTGCATATGGCTTTGTAGTTCTCGATATATATATATTTTTTTAAAACAATAGATAAATCTTGTAAGCTTGTCTCCATTAATCTATAAATTATTAATTAATAATAAATCGTACTTTTCAAGACTCAAAACTCAAATCTCATGTAGAAGTATTAATGAACTTATTAACCAGTAGGCTAAGGGATTTCTAGATATTTTAAGATGAGATAAAAATTTAACTCGGCTGTTTTGCCTCTCTAATTCTAATCCTACTAAACCTGGATACTTGAAAGGGCCTTACATATCTAGACCGCAAAGAAGCCCCATAAAACATGAGCTGTGGTTGATTGACCGAATCGGTGACAAGTCAACTGTAAATGATTATTATTAGCCATTAAGGCTCGGATCGGTGAGCCACCCACCCACCCACCGACCCTACTATTTAATTAAAACAAAAAAAAAGAAATTAAACCTAAATTGAGGATAAAGAGTGTTTATCTTAAGAAAAAAAGCCCAGAAAGAGCCCAAAGGTTGTTAAAACGAACGAGAGAGAAAAGAAAGGGATCCATCCTTTTGTTCAGACGATCTCCGGCGAGAAAAAGGATGTACGTACGAGCGGTTCCGACGACGGATGTGAATCGGAACACGGAGTGGTTCACGTATCCAGGAGTGTGGACGACTTACATCCTCATCCTCTTCTTCTCATGGCTCCTCGTCCTCTCCGTCTTCCACTGCTCCCCTGGCATCGCCTGGACCGTCGTCCACCTCGCCCATTTCACCGTACGTTTTTTCTTTTCAATCTCTCTGGACCCGATCTGTCTCTCTCTCTCTCTCTTGTTAATTCCGATTTTGAATCCGAATCCGCGAATCCGAATCCGATCGTCTTCTTCATCTTCTAGGTCACGTATCATTCCTTCCACTGGAAGAAGGGAACGCCGTTTGGGGATGATCAGGGAATCTACAACCGGCTGACTTGGTGGGAGCAGATTGACAACGGCAAGCAGCTCACTCGCAATCGCAAGTTTCTCACCCTTGTTCCCGTTGTCTTGTAAGTGAACGAATCTGCATTAGCTTCATTAGAGAGGTTTTGTTGTTGTTGGAAATCAATGGCAATTTCCTTAATTTGTTTACTTCTGATTATTTTAGAAATGCTTTCATATGATTTGTAACTATCATTCTCCTCGTTTCGGTTTTTTCTGACTCTTAACTTGTGCTTCATATAATGTTCTGTTCACTGATTAGGGTTGGATCTAAGTTCACCTATTATGATTGTATCCACTTTGTTATTAGGTAGGTAGTGGGCAAGAACCATAGATTTTATTATTCTTAGATCATTGGGGTTTCTGTATTATTAATTAATACACGACATAATTAAGGTCTTGGCTTTTGATATTGCTGCATCTCTCTCTCTCTCTCTCTCTCTCTCTCTCTCTCTCTCTCTGTGTGTGCAAGAAAGAAATCTGATCAGACTTTTGTTTGGGAATGCAGGTACTTGATAGCATCTCACACAACAGACTATCAGCACCCGATGCTCTTCCTCAACACACTGGCCGTTTTTGTAATGGTTGTCGCCAAATTCCCTCACATGCACAAGGTCCGCATCTTTGGAATCAATGCAGACCAATGAAACCCTTTAGCAAAGACAAAAAAAAAAAACAATACCAGGCTAGGCTAGGTATGTGTATAAAAAATGCATTCGATTTTTTTAGTATTTTGGAATCTGGAATCCAATCACCAATGCCAACCGCTGAGGAAATGCGTTATATGGGTCCTCCCAGTCCCATCCCTTTCTCTTTTGTGGTATCTTAACTTTCTTTTTATTTGTATTATATATCCCAAAAAGCTGCTGGGTAAAAAGAGCTAGCAATCTAGGATTTGAATGAATAGTTTGGGCATGCTGGTTCTATGTATACAACACTTCTTTTGGTTTTTTAGATCATTCATTATATTAAGAATTATATGATTATTCATTGTTAAGATGTGAAATCCAGAGAATTAATTCTTGAGATATGAGCCCCCAGAGAAATTTATGACTGGTTTTGTAGCTAGTGCATATCGTTTTTGTATCCATTCGTCCAATGTAACCGCCAAAAACTAAAATAATGCTTTGAGCTTAATCTTATATTGTATGTACATTCTTATGTTGGTTACAAAGTGATGATATCCTCCACTTCTCTCACTGATGAAACAACACTGAGATGAAGTTGCATCTTGGACAGTACTTGTTCAACGCTTCCTCTGAACCCTTTCTTCTCCTCTCCATCTCCTTTGTTGGCTTCCCAAAGTCCCAAACCATATGCAATTCATCACAATCAAGATTCACGTTAACTAATAATACATATACTCCTTAATTATGTTGTAATTTTGATCTATGTTTTTTCCTTTCCAATATTCAAAAACCCAAAACTTGTGTGAAAACGTGAACCAAGCTAATAAACCGAAGCCAGACCAGAAAAGCAAAGTGAATCTACTGACAACTCGTATAAGTGGGAGGGTGAATGTGCTTCTTCATTCTTGCCAAAAAGGTTTAGCAGGGTTGCATCGATAATGGAGAAAACTTTCATCATGATCAAGCCCGACGGTGTCCAGAGGCGACTAGTACGTTTCCCTTACTTTCTTCCTCTTCTTTTTCTATTTTATAAAGGTTGAGTGTGATGCAAGGATGAATACATATTGTTGGTGTTTCAGATCCCTGAAATCATCCGCAGGTTTGAAGACAAGGGTTTCAGTTTGAAGGGTAATTGATTCCAAACTTGCTTGAAGATTAAATGAAGGTGTATAAGTCTTTGAGTCGGTTCACATCCTCCAGCATGCAGATTGTTTGGTTTAGGGGGGTGGATCTTTCTTTTACAATACATATAAGGTTTGCTGGTTGTTAACTAAAATTTCGTTGACTAATTCAACATATTTGCGGTATTATTTGACTCGTTCCAGTTTCACCAAACAATTAATATAGTAATGACTTTATTTTTTTTTTTGTGGATCAAACAATATATAGAGTAATGACTAATGACACAATTTGTGAAATCTTGGTTTTAGAAGTGGTAGGTTGATATTTGATGATAGGTATATGTATTGAAATTCGACATTCTTGTTTTTATAAGTTAACCTATCAACAAAAGACTAAAAAATCACCATGTTGGGAAAAACCTAATACATATATATCCTATGACCATTAATTTGTGGGTCTTACAAGTGAAGCCAATCAATCAAATCCTGCCAGTTTTGGAATCTGAGAATGGGAAACCCAAGTCGCACCAAGACCAGTTGGCACATGTGAGTAGAGAACTCACACATCACAAACAGATGATTCCTTGAAGTAGTTTGCCAATCGTTCATCATAAAAGCTTGACAACCCGTAGATTGAAGGAATCCCCACGACTCTAGGAGCATTTGAGCCGACGAAATCAATTAGAAGACCAAGATCACTCCATTTATCATACCAACTTCACATCTCCCACCTTACAAGATAGAAGATAAAAAAATTATGGTCTTTGTATACATAATAATGTTAGAAGAAAACAAATACTTTCAATCATACATATCATCTTTAGAGTTAGTTATTCATATCCAATGAATTCGTTATTGTTGATTATTCGTTACCAAGGACATTTTAGCACACGTGAGGTGTGACTTGAGCACAAAAGGGCAATTTGACAAAATCGTGATCCCACGACCTGAATATTGTAATTTGTGTTATATATTGTTAGTGTGTCACTCAATGAATTAATTAAATAGGATTTATATGACGCATCAAACCAAAGCAAAATGATAGAGGATTTATTTAAGTAGGTGGGTCACATTAATATCGCTCACGTCACGACTCGTCACGATAACTATAATTTGTTCATTTACCAATAGGCAAATGGAAAATGATAAAACAAACGATGACAAAATCAAAATGAGACCAAGCAACAACAAAAGGAACAAGAAGAAACATTTTCACAAAAAAAGTTCAAGATGTATAATTTGTATTTATCTCAGTTGAAAAGTCTAGAGAAGAAGAGTAATAGTATATAAAAAATCATCATATGGTTATTATTATTGAAATGAAAGTAATAAGAATTAGAAAAGACAAGTTGAGTAGGTGCAGACAATGTAAGTGCGTGTGATTTATATAAGTTGACAATTTCCATAAATAATTTTTTTAAAAAATAAAAAAAATGAGAGAAGAAAAAAACAAAGGGAAAGGATCATTGTTCGTTAATATTCGTACCCTTTCTTTCTGTCTTTCTTTCGAACAAAAATTACCGAAATTCTCGCGAGAGGAAGATCATTTGGTTTGCTTCACTTAAAAAATTTCTTTTTTTCCTTCCCTCGCGAGGAGATGTAAAGACGAAGAAGAAAGGGCGTGACTTGAATCGATGCAACATTTTGGGCACACCAGTTTTTAAACTCATTTCCTTTTCATATTTTTAGAAAGAACAAATTTTGATTCAACGGGTTTGGATATTGTGCAGCAGATGTAAGTACATTCCTTCAAATTCTTCTCTTTTTAGTGGGTCGGAGATTTCTGTTGAACTACTGACATATTTCTATAGGGCAAAGTCTCTGTTTTTGATACAGATTTTCACAATTTTTTTTTTTTTTTTGGATTTTGACTCTCTTTTATATGTATAGAAGTGTGGTGGTGGTGATGGGTAGCGGAGGGAACGAGGAAGATGAGGATCGGTTCTCCGATGCTCGCGAAGAGGTTTCATCTGTTTCCGATTGCAACTCGGAAGTCGCCGATGAATTTGTTCAAGCAACTGGCGATTTAGACCTTTGGACCATGAATCCAGAGAGTGTTACTAACCGCCGACACAAGTTCTTCCAATCTATGGGTTTTAGTTTTAAAAAGAGAGACGTTGATGTCGTCGACCTTCTTCTTGGAGATTCTTGTCCCGACCATATTATTCCCGTTTTAAACTCTGACGAGGAGGAGAAGAAGCTTTTGTTGAGGAATGAATCTACATCCTCTGATCGATCCTCTGTTTCAACTTCTTCTTCTCTGGCTGAGGCATTCAGTTTCAGAGGAGCCTTTCTGGAGCGCGCCAAGAGAATTGATGATCAGATTCTGTTAACGAGAGATTGTTCCAGTAATAGCAGCAGCATCGCCGAGGGATTGAGCGAGTCTGGTTCGAGCAGGTCCGGTGGCTCTCCGTTGAGTCGTTATGAGGATTCGCCTAAGAAGGGAGGAGCTGCTAAAGGGTGGTTGAAGAAGCTAGGTGTTCTAACACACGTTCTTGACAAGAATGAAGAGTCCATCGATGGTGGTGAGTCTTTGGGATCATCCACACGGAGGCAACTAACTCGAGTTCAGTCTTTTAAAAAGCAGTTCAAGGAGCTCTCGTCTCTGTGCATCGGACAAGAGTTCTCGGCGCACGATGGATCCATTGTAGTGATGAAGTTTTCTCATGACGGCAAGTACTTAGCCAGCGCTGGTGAAGACTGTGTCGTGCGAGTGTGGAACATAACGGAAGAAGAGAGGAGAGACAATAAGTTCGAAGTGGCTGAGTTTGATTCAAGCTCTAACTGTGTTTACTTTGGAATGAATGACAAGTCACAGATTGAGCCGTTAAACATTGAGGATGAGAAAATCGAAAAGAGTAGAAGATTGTTGAGGAAGAAGTCAGAATCGACTTGCGCTGTGTTGCCTTCAAAGGTCTTTACTGTATCTGAAACCCCTCACCATGAGTTCCGTGGACATTTAGGTGAAATCTTGGATCTTTCTTGGTCGGAGAAAGGGGTAAGTTCAATTTTTCAGAGCCTTCTTGTGGTTTATTTTAGAGGCAATCTATGGTACTATAATTAACAATTTTGTGGTGTTGCATGTGCTGCCTGTAGTTTCTACTGTCATCTTCTGTGGATGAGACTGTTCGATTATGGAGAGTTGGTTCCTCTGATGATGAATGTATCAGAGTTTTCTCTCATAAGAGCTTTGGTGAGTTTCTTTCTTTATCTGCCAGTGCTGCTTTGCTTTCGATCGGTATGTCTTCTTATATAGGCACCTTAGCTTGTCTCTTTCTCCTCCTCCTTTTGCAGTGACCTGTGTGGCATTCAATCCTGTGGATGACAATTACTTTATAAGCGGGTCCGTCGATGGCATAGTCCGTATATGGGATGTTTCCCGTTTCAGGGTTGTTGACTATACAGATATAAGAGAGATTGTCACCGCTTTGTGCTATCGCCCTGATGCCAAGGGTGCAGTCGTAGGTTCTATGACTGGAGAATGTCGCTTTTACCATACTATTGGTATATATGTTTTTACTTGAAAAAATGTGTAAAACGCTTGGAACCCATCTTTGTATGTTTTTGACATCTTTTGAACCTCTCTCTCTCTCTCTCTCCTCAGATAACCTGCTGCAACTGGATAGAGAGATCAGTTTCCATGGGGGTAAGAAGAAGGTCCCTAGCAAAAGGATCACTGGTTTTCAGTTTTTTCCTGGTGACTCCGACAAAGTAATGGTCACTTGTGCTGATTCTCAAATCCGAATCATCTGCGGAGTCGATACAATCTGCAAGCTTAAGAAAGGTTTCTACAATCAAGTTGCTTCTCTTCCTTTGAATGCTTTTGTGAGTTTGTTCTGATATATATTTTTTTTCTTTGGTTATTTTTTTGGTGGATGTTTTGCAGCTTCAAGTCTTAGGACAACACTGAGCCCAACCTCTGCTTTGTTCACATCGGATGGGAAACACATTGTGTCAACAATAGAGGACTCAGGGATTCATGTTTGGGACTACTCTCAACCCAACAAAAAGGCTGCTTCTTCTCCGAAACCAAAAACGATCAGGTCTTACGAGGGATTTCTCTCAGACAATGTGTCTGTTGCCATACCTTGGCTAGGCCAGGGGAAAGAAGAGGACAGTTTCATTGCTGATTTAGAGAAAAAGTTTGCTCATTTCCCGTTGCCGATGGACTGTTTCTCTCCAATGAAAGGAGCAACAACGTGGCCGGAAGAGAAACTTGGAGTAGTACCAGGTGCAGGTGCAGCAGCGATTTCAGCTATAGCCAGCAGCAGATCCAAGCTGAGGCTCTTGAGGAGTGTGTGCCAGAACGTCAACGTTTCTACGCCGCACCTGTGGGGGCTTGTGATTGTGACAGCTACTTGGGACGGTAGAATCAGGGTGTTCCATAACTATGGGTTACCAGTTCGGGTCTAAGTAAAGACATAGTGAAACAGTGTGTACACTTGCAGTGTTAAGAGTAGTAGCATTCTTTGATTTCCTTTTAGCTTACTTTAGCTTTAAGATCATGAGCTAAAGTTGGTCACTTTGTATTTTGCGTATATGTTATATGTGAGATCTACAGTAAAAACTCTATAAATTAATACTCGATAAATTAATAAACGCTATAAATTAATAATTTTTCATGGTCTCGAGTTGGGCCAGTTCAAAATATAACTCGATTCGATAAGATAATAAGATAATAATTTTAGCAAAGCTTCTATGTAAATATATGGTCCCATTAATATCATAAATTAATAATTACCATAAATAAATTTTGATATAAACATATAAATCAAATAATTTATTAAAATATAAGTTCAGTGATGTTTTTATTTATTTTAACTTAAAATTTTCTTAGAAATCATCTTTAATATTAGAAATAATTATTTAAAGATTATAATTTTTTAAAAAAATCTCTTTCAAAATTGATAAAAAATAGAAAATATTTCTTTCTTTGAAATCTATAAATTAATAACTCTATAAATTAATAAAATATCAAAGTCCTAACATTATTAATTTATAGAGTTTTTACTGTATTATATTATGTTCTGTGTGGATAAACACCGACGGTAATTTAAAATTTGTTAACGTAGAAGAATGTGATTGACTACTTAACATAAACAGATTTACCCTAAACTCCTTAAGGCGTTCTCGTTATGCTCATCTGATTCAATTACTCAAATTAGTGCTATATGTGAGATCTGTGCTATATGGGAGATCTGTGCTATATATGAGGTATGTGCTATATGCGGTGATATATGTGAGACCTGTGCTATATGCTCGCCTGGTGCTATATGTGAGACCTGTGCTATATGCTCGTCTGGTGCTATATGTGAGAACTATTATATTATGTGCTGCGTGTAAATAAACACCTACTGTGATTTATAATTTGTCAACTTTGAAAAATGTGATTGACCACTTAACATAAACAGATTTACCACTAAATTGAGTAATTGGATCAGATGAGCATAACGAGAACGTCTTAAGGGGCACTACTTCTTAATCTCTCCCCCTTTCCTATCCATTAAGAGTAAGAAAATAAAAACATACAAAACAAAGAGAAAAAAAACAGACTTGGTCTCCCTTTATCCTCAAAACTTGACCAAAACGTCTCTCTCTAATGGGGGTGGGTTTTAACAAGTCAATAATAATAATAAGAAAAAAAAAAAAAAGCATTAGACATTTTAGAGCTCGTCGTGAGACTCATCCTCCTCGTCGGTCGCTGAATCTCCTCCTGCAGCACCTGGTGCACCACCAGATCTCTGATAAACGGCCGTGATGATTGGGTTACACACTGCCTCTACTTCCTTGAGCTTCTCCTCATAATCTTCTTTCTCCGAGTTTTGGTTCTCGTCAAGCCACTCCAAGGCTTCTTTGGTGGCAGCTTCAATCTTGTCCTTCTCGTCCGCCTCCAATTTGTCAGCGAGCTTGTCCTTGTCGCTCACTTGGTTCTTCATGTTGTACACGTATGTCTCCAGGCTGTTCCTGGCGTCGATCCTCTCCTTCACCTTCTTGTCTTCCTCTGCAAACTCCTCTGCCTCCTTCACCATCCGCTCAATCTCTTCCTGGCTCAGTCGACCCTTCTCGTTTGTGATTGTGATCTTCTCTGATTTACCACTCGCCTTGTCCTCTGCTTTCACGTTCAGGATACCATTCGCGTCCACTTCAAACGTGACCTCGATTTGAGGTGTTCCTCTGCCAAAACCAAAACCAATATATGAGTCCCTTATATTGATTCACAATTCTTACCTCCTAAGGAAAGAGACGCAAATGGAAGGAATATTTTAAAGACAGACAAACCTTGGTGCCGGTGGGATTCCGGTGAGGTCGAATTTCCCGAGCAGCCTGCAGTCCTTGGTGAGACTTCGCTCACCTTCAAAGACCTGGATGGAGACCGTTGTCTGCTGGTCTTGGTATGTCGTGAAAACCTGAGATTTCTTGGTCGGAATAACCGTGTTTCTCGGGATCAGCTTTGTCATCACTCCTCCCACTGTCTCGATACCCAAAGTGAGTGGCGCAACGTCAAGAAGAAGGATATCTTTCGTCTCGTCACCGCCTTCTCCGCTCAAGATACCACCCTGGACGGCAGCACCATAAGCGACAGCCTCGTCCGGGTTCACACCCTTGTTGGGCTCTTTCCCTTCAAAGAAGTCCTTCAACAGCTGCTGAACCTTTGGGATCCTAGTGCTTCCACCAACAAGCACGATCTCATCGATCTGGCTCTTCTGTAGACCAGCATCATCCATGGCCTTCTTCACCGGTCCCATCGTCTTCCTGAACAAGTCGTTGTTCAGCTCCTCGAAACGAGCTCTCGTCAGTGGCTCGGAGAAATCAACACCATCGAAGAGGGACTCGATCTCTACACGGACTTGGTGCTGGCTACTAAGAGCTCTCTTGGCCCTCTCACATTCCCTGCGGAGCTTACCTAGAGCCTTGTTGTCCTTGCTGATGTCCTTTTGGTGCTTCTTCTTGATCAACTTGATAAAGTAGTCCATGATCCTGTGGTCAAAGTCCTCACCTGCACATGATCACAAAGACACAAGGTGGTTAGCACCAACATCCATCCATACGAATTTCACACCCCAAAAAAAAAACTTGTATTTCTGTGGTTTTAGGGTAAGTTACCTCCCAAGTGAGTGTCACCATTTGTGGAGAGAACCTCGAACACTCCGTTATCAATGGTCAAGACACTGACATCAAAGGTACCACCACCAAGGTCAAAGACGAGGATGTTCTTCTCACCACCCTTCTTATCAAGACCGTAGGCAATAGCAGCAGCAGTGGGTTCGTTGATGATTCTAGCAACATTGAGGCCAGCAATTACACCAGCATCCTTGGTCGCCTGCCTCTGGGCATCGTTGAAGTAAGCTGCACATAATCAACGCCAGATAAAGAGTCAATAAACTGTGTATATATATATACAGATATATATATATACAAGGGGTATTGACAACAAGCTAACCTGGAACAGTGACAACAGCGTCCTTGATTTTCTTTCCAAGGTAAGCTTCAGCTGTCTCCTTCATCTTAGTCAGAATCATGGCACTGATCTCCTCAGGAGAGAAAACCTTGGTCTCACCATCCTTGATCTTGACTTGAATGTATGGCTTGCCGTCCTTGTTCACGATCTGGTAAGGTACAAGCTTCTTGTCCTTTTGGACTTCTTTGTCCTCGAATCTGCCATAACCCAAAACAAGAATTAAAGCAACAGTCCATTTGCATTGTGAAAAAAAAAAACAGAAACAATGGAATTACTTTCGCCCGATCAGCCTCTTGACGTCGAAGATGGTTCTCTCTGGGTTAACAGCCGCCTGGTTCTTAGCAGCCTCACCAATGAGCCTCTCGGAGTCGGTGAAACCAACCCAGGAAGGTGTAATACGGTTTCCTTGGTCATTGGCAATGATTTCAACATGGCCATTCTTGTAAACACCAACACAAGAGTATGTTGTACCAAGATCTATCCCTATAACTGTTCCCAACTTGGTGGCCTCTTCTTTAGCAGTGGAAAACGCAAATAGACATCCTGAACCATATATGAATCCCAGTCGTCAACATAATGGAAACACAAATCTCTCAACTCAGTACAGCAAATATTTGACTACTGATAAACCAACTACCTAATTTTCTCACTACATTATCCAGGAATGAATCTCTACCGAACAATTATCTTTAAGATCATGGTTACCCGTGAGAAACGAGATCTAATCTTAAAAGATGGTAAAGTTGTAAGCAAACAAAACCATTAAAATCTCAAGGAACAACGAAATGATAGTTTAAAATCAAACATGAATGCAGAGACTGATTATGCCGATTTGATCAGACTAAAGAGATACACAAACCTCAGAGAAGAACATGCTCATACAAAGACAATTAGATCGAGACGTATTAGAGTAAAGCAGAGAAAGGAGAGAAATCACTGACCGAAGAAGATAATCGCCAGCACAACGGTGCCGTTTGCTCCAAACGAGCGAGCCATATCGAGTGTATTCGATCTCCCTTTTCTCTTTAGATCTTCGAACAAGAGCTCTTCTCCTTCTTCTTCTTTTTTTTTTTTTTAGTTTCAGTTCCTCAGTTGAATGGCTTTTATATATAGTCCCCGAATGTGATGGTGAAGTAGTCGCTTTTTATGGAAGAAATAATAAAAAAACTTTATGTCATCGAGGATGACTTGGACCAATTATATCGCGATGATCTATAGCACCAGCCAATCAGAGTAGGTCTTGTGTTGGAGTAATCGTGGCCGTTGGTTACCTACTTCGTTTCTTTCTTCTTCGTTCTAGAGAATGGGCTTTCTTCTTTTTTTTACGTTAGGCCCAGACTTTTCTTGAGTCCTCCCACATCTTCGTTAACTATTTTGCTAATTAATTCAGAAAATATATTTATTGCTCGTGTACTTCAGACTTTTTTTTTTTTTTGATTGACTCGTGTACTTAAGACTTAGGAGGGCGAGTTGTGACGATAAGCTAGGACATATAATACGAGGATTAAAGTATGAAGCACTTCAAGAAAAGAAAATAAAAAGAGGAAAAAAAAGAGAGAGAAATTTGGCATTGAATTAGTACCAAATCTTTTTGTTAATCGGTTTTTGTGGAATTAGGGGTTAAAAAAAATTGGATAAAAGAAATTGTTTCATTGAAGATGACAAGTTAATTGTACATACAAGAAATTTTTGATCGACTCTAAAGTCTAAAGGTCAAAAGCTATAAAGAGTGTACAAGGAAGTGAAGAAACTAACAGTTGGACATAGTTGTGTGTGTTTCTTCTAATTGCAAATTCACACAGCACTTTCAAGCAAACCTTGAGCATCTATAAGATAGTAAGACTCAGGAGGAGGATGAGCATTAAATTAGTTTATGGACTTGCTCATACTCATCAATGCCTTGTACATCAGACTCTTGTTCCCCTTTCTCGAACAAGATTGCTTTATCTCCACTATCTCTCTATTTCTCGACACTGATATCGCTCTTTGTGGCTCCAGTAAGGCCTTTCATCCACAAAAAAAAAAAAAAAACACAGAGCATAAGAAGATTCACTAACTATGTTGATAACAACTGAAGCTGAATATATATACAGACTGGACAATATTGGGAGCTTGTGAAACTGAGTATCCGATCTTCCGTATTGAATTTGAGGACAATACCCAGACCACACGAAAAAGACTCAGTTTGCCAAGCTGCATCGATATTGCAGCTGACTTTGACTGGCTGTGTGGTTGGAGTTGAGATCGGAGAGGATTAACTCATTGGGTGGACAATTGTCTGTGCCTCATGTCAAACTCTGGCTTTCGATATTGTCTTTGTAAGAATTTTATTCTCCGAAAAGGTTCTGTTTGAAAAAAAAACTTATGATTTTACATGATGTTTATAATTTTTTTAATGATTTTTGTTTTAATAAAAAAATCTTATGAATTTTTTTTTAATTAACAAAAAATGATCTACATGTATATTATAATTAGATGATTGATTATAATTCATAAGTGATGCCATCTAAATAAAAATTCGGAGGAAAAAAAGTAGACAATGATAAATGGCTGATAGAACTTTTGGTTACTATTATCTAATTATTACTAAAAGGAAAAAATTATAAAAAATGCAAAGTCAAACATTTTCTATTTTTTCTCATTTTTTAAAGTGTTTCATATGTATTTTTTTACGGATAATCTTGTAATTTTTTTTTTTAAAACGAAAAACATTTCTTTCTATATATTAGTAGGATAATTATATAATGAATCATTCCATTAAGACAAAAAAGAGCTAAAATATTAAAAAAAAAAAAAACACAAAAAAAATGTCCAAGAGTGTAAATGGTGTTGTGGTTGCTCTTATCCTGATTTATTTTTTCATTTCAATAGGTAAATTATATTATATTATTTTTCAATTTAAATTTTTATGTTTACATTTTATAAGATCATTAAATTTTAAAATTTTTAATATATAAACAAAAAATTGCTTATGATGCAAAATGATTCACCTTGAACCTTGAAATCTATGTTTCTCGTGAAGGGAATCATGAGATTATAGATGATGCGTTTAGAGAAGAAAAGAAGACCAGGAAGCATGGACTGCTGAATTGGATGAAACATAAGGTACACATTTGAATGTAGAAGTTATATGACTTTGATACACTTTTACCGTTGGTTGTTCTTATTAAATTTAGAGCATTTCCCCCAACATCATAACCTCATACTATAGTTAGTACTGTTGCGAACAGTGTCTTGTCCCTCATATATCTGACCCTCTATGTGCTTCAAAAGAATTATGCTCCTGGTGTGCATGAGATATCACACAGCCTCATTCCCCTTAGTGGATTGTCTTCTTTTTTTTTTTTTTCCTGGAGGTGCGTCTCTTGCCATTTTTTCTCTCATTACTGTTTTACTATCAGAAAAAGGACAACAATTTGGGGGATCAAGCATCAGCGACAAGTCCAGTGCGGTCAAGTCCAACAGTACACCGTCAACTCCTCAAGGGGAAGGCAGTACTTTTCATACAGAATCAAGACTTTCAGAAAGCTCACCATTGGCTGATCAACTCTTTGAGCCTAAGGAAGATAAAGAAGCTCATGAAGACAGATCTCATGAGATAGAGACACCTGAGGTGCATGGAGATTTTCTCACAGCTGATAGCCCATTCTGTTTCCATCAATTTGCTTTTTTTAGCTTCCTTTAGAACAACTGATCCACGATTTTAGGCATTGTTTGCATGTTCCCAGACTAGAAGAAAAATGATCGACCAGATGGTAGTACTGAAGGAACACCAAAAGATTTTATCTGAGGAGATGGCGATACAATCAAGGTCTTTTAAACGGTTGTCAGAAGAGGCTGCAAAAGCTCCTCAAAATGAAGAAATTAAAGTAATCTTAACTTTCTGTTCATTAATCTTTATCAGAATTTGAATCAAATTATGCATATATATACCTTCCCGGTTCATTTCAATAGGTAATTATATTATATTATTTTTTCAATTTAAATTTTTATGATGCCCTGGTCTGAGACGTGCCAAGCAGTTTTTGTTACCAACCCAAAAGCAGAAGCAGGTGCAGCAACCAAGGAAGCAGCAATGAATGGGTTCACCTCCTGTACCAAGAGAAGAGGGGAGAAAATGATTCACCTTCCCCTTTCTTTTCTCCTATTATAAATGAAAGGAGTTAGGAAGCCGACGATCTGATTTGAGTAGTTCTGGTAGCGTCCTGTTAGCCAATGATGCTTAGCTGGTCTCGAATGAGCTCAAGTAGTTGAGTAGCTAAAGGCGTTGCCTTAAAGGAATGAATGTCCTATCTTCGGGTAGCTTCCTACAGATTTTTCTTCCCTTATTTATGGAAGTTCCTGGATTGTGCGAAATAAGAACATAGGGTATTGACTGATTAGCTGCTCAAGCTACATTTCAAAGGTGAAGAGTGAACCTTTTTTCTGTTGTTAGCTGAGCTTATACTCTCCTTCTCTTCCGTTTCGAGTTGGTTTGCAAACCAAGTAGGAGAAACATGAGATTAGGTAAGTAATAGTTCTACTGCTAACCCCTTACCTACACCCGATGAATGCCTTTGAGATCAGGATGTTCTACCGCTTTTCCTAGGGAAGGTATATACTACCGATAGTATTCCGCTTTGTGAAAGTGCCATAAAAACTCTCTTCGCGTCAACGATATCCATCTAACCATCTAACGAGATTTGCTTCGGGTAAGATTCCCTGATCTGAAATTTCGTTAGTGAGCTGGTTCGGTATATCCCTTTAATTAACCTAAAATGTACATTCGATAGGGAACTTTGATTATCAAATGGGTTTGGTTTATTAGTTTCTCAGCACTTATATCGCTCTTTGTGGCTCTGGTAAGGTCTTTACATCCTCAAAAAAAGTAAAAACACAGAGCAGAAGAAGATTCACTAACTATGTTGATAACAACTGAAGCTGAATATATTTTATATATATATATATATGTATATACAAATTGATACAAGTGCTATACCAGTATTCTTGGCTGGCTTGGGGAGCTTGAACGTTTCAGTAGAGATCCTGAACGTAAGAGAGCAAATCTCATAGGAGAGTTTGTTCTTTTACCTGCAACATCCACACACACACACTTTACTTTACTTTGTCTGAAATCATCTTAAGGAAATATCATTGTCTAGTTGTTGTTGTACTACTTTGTGTTCTGTTGCTCATGTTGTTGTGTAGAATGGGTGAGAAGGAGAAGCTTCCTGTCTTGTTAGTATCTTTCCTGCATTCGACCAACCAATTATCCGAATTACAAAGAAGCAATAAAACCCGAAACATAAGAAGAAGATTAGAATCACTCCAAGTCTTCCTCTCTTCCTCTACAACTGCTCCACCCACCAGCTTCACGGTATTTACCAGGCGGCGAGCTTCGGAGGAACAAACATCGAGAATCTCTTGCTGGCGAATCCAGTTTCTCTGCTCAGGTGTGTTTGCCACTCCAAGAAGATTCCTTCCGACCCATTCTCCATCACTACGACGGCCCCAAGTTCCGCCTCGAACTCAGCATCCCTGAGGTTTGTCTCTTTTAAGACATCCCTAATGTTAAGTCTTTTAACTATTGGTTCTGATCAATCTTGCTTGTGTTTTTGCAGGTGCTTTCTCTATTGGACATTATTGGACATTTTTGCTGAGCAAAACCCTTGATTTTATTTTGTTGGGATAACAATTGGGATAAACACACAAAATACCAGAAAGAGAAGTAGTATTTGTCTCAAGAAGATGGTGGTAGTTTATATTTTACCTCATCTGTTTTATGAGGTAAAATAATTACTTTTTTAAAAATTTGGATTTGATCTGGTATCCATGAGTTCGCATCCGCTGTTATTGTGAATACGAAGGACAATATTGGAATGAACAGTAAAAAATCACATAATAGCTAGAAGTGTCTTATGTTGTAATATGAGTTTCAAAAAGTATCTTTTAATGTAATTACCTCTCGTTTAAATAGTCTTCTTGAGTTTTTTTTTGTTTTTGTTTTAGTAGTATATGTTTCTAGAGTAATTTCCAGTTAAGAGGATATGTGAATTTACAAGAATGGTCTAGGGGATAAACAATCATCTGTCTATCACTTGTTTGTGTAAAGTAAATAAAGTTTCATGTGTATACCCAAAAATTGAGAGTCCGATTCTGTATATTGCTCTTTTTCTTCCCACCTAATTCTATATTTTTCATCTGGTATTTCCTTATATTTTTAAAACAAGGCCATGCACTTTTGCAATGGTCACCAAAACAATGCCTCACAAAAGCGGAAGCTATGGGTAAATGCTTATAATTCACTCTACCTTATCCAAAAATTAACTTTAACAAGAAAAGTGTATGTCAAAGCAAATCGACAGAGGTTTAGTGTTGTAACAAGAAGCACTTGGGTTTTTTCTTTCTTTTTTTTGTTCCAACTTTAAACTTCATTAAATCAAATCACAATGTTCAACAGAGCTCAAAAAGCTTTTTTCGCCCACCTCGGCATTGAAAAATCAGGAAACGTAAACAAAAAAAACAACTCGTAGAGAAAGATAACGCCAACATGCATATCATTAACATAGGCATAGATCTCCGTGTGTGTATCCTGATAGTTGAGGATATTCACAGGACCTAGAGACCGAGATCATTTGAATTTCTTCACACTCTCTCACATTTGCTATGATTAAGGTTTCACGCATCGCCCAAGCTTCTACTGCTACCGCCATGTGGACATGTGGCTGGGAGCTTGCGAAACTGAGTACCCAATCTTCCGCATTGAATTTGAGAATAATACCCAAACCACACGACAAAGCCTCAGCTTGCCAAGCTCCATCGATATTGCAGCTGACTCTGACTGGCTGTGTCGTTGGAGTTGAGGTTGGAGGGGATTTAGTCATTGGGTGGATAATTGTCTGCGCCTCATGTCAAGCTTTGGCTTCCAATATTGCCTTTGTAAGGATTTCTTTCTCTGAAAAGGTTTTGTTTGAAAAAAAAACTTGGGAATTTACATGATGTCTATAAAAAAAATTATGATTTTTATTTTTATAGAAACTTCTTTTTGTTACGGAATATGTTATGAATTTTTTTTTTCATAAAAAAATGATCTACATATATTATAATTAGATTATTGATTAAAATTCATAATTGATGCCATTTAAATCAAAATTCGGAGAAAAAAAAGTAAGACAAAGATAAATGGCTGATAGAACTTTTGATTACTATTATCTAATTATTACTAAAAAGAAAAAAAAATATGAAAAATTCATAGTCATATATTTCCTATTTTTTCTCTTTTTTTAAGTGTTCCATATGCATTTTTAACGGATAACCTTGTGATTTTATTTTTCAAAAAATAGAAAAAACATTTCTTTCTATATATTACTAGGATAATTATATAATGAATCATTCCATTAAGACAAAAAAAAGAGCTAAAATAAAAAAAATAAAAACAAAGAAAAATGTCTAAGAGGGTAAATCGTGTCTTGGTTGCTCTTATCATGATTTGTTTTTTCATTTCGATAGGTAAATTATATTATATTATTTTAAAATTTAAATTTATGTTTACATTTTATAAGATCATTAAATTTTAACTTTTTAATATATAAACAAAAAATTGCTTATGATGCAAAATTTTGACTTCTGAAACAAATTAAATCCATCTAGTTGGTGATTTACTATACAATAGAATAGATTGTGTTATTCTTAAGCTTTTTAAGAGATTTTTGGCTCAAACCTCACTCTTTTTCGAAGCTGATTTCAATTCTGCCATCAATTCTCTCTTTCCAGCAAGGTATGAACCTCAAACTCACCATTCTTACTAGATTTTGAACTTAAGGTTTTCTTTAAAAACCCAAAATCTTGGTCTATTGATGGTGGAAGTAGCTTAAAAATGGTAGATTATCCATTTAGGTTATCTAAAAATCGATTTCAGCACCAGTTCGCAGACGAAACTTCAGAGGATGAATGATTGATCAGCACTTCACTACCATCACGGTTCTATCATAATTTTCTTTTCTTTTATCTTATTTTATCTTATTTTGCTTTTATTCACCATCCTTTCACTAACTTTTTCACACTGGGGACAGTGTGATTCAAGTCTGGGGGAGGATGTCTATCCGTACTAATCATTTTCCTGCTTTGCTTTTAATTTTCAAGTACTTTTTAAATTTAAGTATGTAACCTATTCGACATTAAGTATTTTTCAGGAATGTTTGACGCAAAACTATGATGATTTAGACCTGCACACTTCTACACTATACATGATAGCTCATTTGTGGTTAGCACTAGACTAGGCGGTAGCTAGAGTACTTGCACTACGAACTCCCACCAGAGGACTTCTATTCATGGAGATTCTTTCTGACAGGATATACTAGCTCATTTTATTTGGACTTAATATTGATATCTAATTTTCTCATCATTGATTTTAAGCAGTCATCGACATACACATCTAGGACGTCTTTTACCATCATTTTACCACTCTTTGTCGTCCTAGATGACCAGTTTATCTTTATCTGGTACCATACCCTAAACCCAAAACCTTTGTTTTCAATCCTCATGCATTCTCTCTTTAGTTTATATCAGCAGATATGTGCAAAAACGTCGGAGAGAAGAGGAGCGACGCAGTTTTCAGTCACTCGCAAAAGAGACTGAATGGAATTGGGAAGGAAGAGTATCAGAAACATAATAAAGCTTTACAAGACAGATATTAACTGGTAAATTCGTGCTCTCTAAGACTCTATATCTAAAGGTGTTCCCTTTCCCTAAAAAAAAAAAAAAAAACGTGAAAAGAGAAAAGGGAAACAAAAAGCCTAATGAGTCTTAGATTGTCGAAATTTATGGAGCAATGAGCAACCACTATTCGTTTAAGGAGCTATTGTTTTGAAAGATTTACAAAAATCTAAGTCTGGGGGAGTTTGGAGAGAACTTGAGGAAGAAGACCACAAATCTATGTCGAGAAAAAGTGACTGAAAACTGTGGATACCAACAGCTTCACTCTCTCTTGCGGTTTTGCATAATGTCCTGCATCCTCCAGATCTTCAGGTAACCCTTAAACACTTTAAGCCATACCCCCAAATAATCCTTCTTTACACCTAGCCTAGATTGCCTTGCCTAGATTTTCTTTGATGAGAACCACCGAGATTTTTAATGAATGTTAAGAGCTAGTTGACTGGAAGTTAGATCTTAGTGCATAGATTTCTGCATGATGGATTAACGGACTAGTTATGCCTGTATTGCTAGTGAGAATTTTCTAGGCTATTCCCGATTGATGCATACTGATTGATGTTGGTCTAGAAGTTTGGTCTCTGAAATTTTGTTTAGTTCCTGCGTTTTCAAACCTCTCGCCGAGATTTAGCCTTTGTTTTGTTTGAGGACAAACAAAAGACTAAGTCTGGGGGAGATGATAACACCGGATTTTGACCATTTTTATGGATCATTTTAATATCTTTTACAGGTGTTTTTACTCCATTTTCAAAGGTTTTCAAAGGATTTCTATGTTTCCGGATTTTAAAAGACTTTTCAGGTAATTTGGGATAAAGAGGCATAAAATGGAACAAAAAGACTCTTTTGGATAAATGCAGACCGTCAGAACTCTCATGGAGAGACGAAGACCTTCTCACCGTCTGATCACCCTCAAAATTGGACAACATATAGAAGAATCAACCAGCTTTCAAATGCACTTGGTTTGGAGACATTCCAAAGGTTGGATCTCAAGATAACCCATTAGCCCCGAAGCCACGCGGAGTCGGCCAGCAACTCACGCGACCGCGGCCAACAAGCTATTTGCCGCGGTCAGAAGCTTCCCGACCGCGGCCAACAAGCCAATTGCCGCGGTCACAGCACTCCCGACCGCGACATTCAACCTCCGACTTAAAGCCCACTTATCTGAAGCCCAAAGTCATTCCCAGCCTCAATTCCGGAACCCTAGAGACCATGGAGTATTCGAGACTATAAATACATGTCATTTAGGTCGTTTTTAGAGAGAGATTTTACATACTTTACAGAAACCCTTTTCCTTTAGCCGTTTTTATGAGATTTTTGTAGAAGATTGTTCAAGTCCGAGTTCTTCAATAGAGAAGCATTCTTTATCTCTTTTCTTTACTGTTTTTCATTACTTTTATTAAAACCAATGATGATGTCGAACTCAGCCATGTCTGAGTAGATCCCGAATTGGGCTTAGGGTTCCCGAAAGGGGCTCTCATAATCGATTAAGACATCTAGGTTTATAGATCTGGGATTTCGACCTGTTCTCTGTTTATTCTTGTTCTTATTGCATGTATGCTTGATTGATCACCTAGTATCTGATCTAGATAGTTAGTGTTGCAAAAGTTTTCATTAAGTATCAGCCCTAGAATGAAACAAGCGATTTTTCTGTAGGAGTGGAAACCTACCTGCGGCGAGATCGTGAGTATTGACGAGTCTTATGCAGCTCTTGCGTTCTCTCCCTTCCAGGGCCAGAGTGGAAACCTACTGGTCACGGTTGCGAGAAACAGTTGGTTATGATCACGACAGTGACGTAGTCATACCGCCGTACTCTAGCTCTAGAACCCATATATTGCTATCCGTCAATCCCAATCTATCTACCTTAATCTTAAAA